TTCCTGATTCTTGGTTGGAGTTGGTGGTGCTTTCCTGACTCCTCAGAGTTTGGGTGCCTTGGCACACTTAGAGGCCACAGCCTGAGGAGCACAGGGTGGGAACCTTCACTGGGGTTGAATCAGCTGTTGGACAGACTCTTCCAGTGAAGAGCTGGCCATGGCTTTCCCCCCACAGTGCTAAGCCAAGAGCACGGTGTCCTTTCCACCGGGTGACAGCGCTGGCCTGCAGCCAGCCATCACTGCAGCCCCATGTGTAGCAACACTTGATCCATCTCCAGGATGGGTTTAGTGTCACCTGGGTGGAAGAGATCCATGCTGTGGATCCACCCTGGCGTGCAGAGAGGAGGGGACAATTCAAATGTGGCCTGTCAGGACTGGAGGTTGCCTCAGTGTTGTACACTGAGGAAATGGAAGGAATTTCAGAAACGTTTTGACTGTGTAAATAAACACAGTTTTGGCAATATTTCCTTTTAAACCGTGTTTTTGGACTTTTAGATGGTTTTTATTTTGGGAAATGATTATTTGTTTACAATTTTACCTAAGGAGGGGAATAAACTGAAAAGCTGATCCTCTGCCTGGGGGAGACACAACACTCATGTAGCTGCTCTGAAAAGAGCAGTGCCTCTGAAATTATTCTTATTTTGAGCTAGAAACACTGCAAATACTCAGTGGCTGAAGCCTGCCAGTTAAAATACAGCTGTATAGTGATACATACTTAGGTGGTGGCAGCTCTTGGGAGTTTCTTCTTCACCACCTCCCCAGTGTTTATACCACTGTGAGATATTGTTATTCTGAAGTGCCTCCTGCAGCAGTTTTATTTGCATTAGCTTTATTTTTCAGTACTGAATTAGTAACCATTTAAAACTGTCAACCACATGTAAACAAGTGGTGTGTAAGTTATGAATAACAACTTACCTGGAATTACAACTGCCTGTTTGGATTGCACAAGGCTCGGCGCTGGGGGAGTTGTGAAATGACTGAATTCACTACTGCAACATTATTTCTGTTTGGCTGCCTTCTTGCAGCCAATTTGAATAAATACCCTGGTGCTCACATGATTCCCTCAGCCAGTGCTCCTGGGGGGGAATGCTGGCTTCCCAAGTGTTGGAATATGAGTGCTCAACTCCAGCCCATGTGATGAGCAACATTTTTTTGCAGGCTCTGTCAAAACTGTGCTTGCTCACTGTGTAGCTTGTCAATTCTGACCAAAGATCTTGGATGGGGGAAGAAATACCATTATTAACTGATGTAATAATAAAATGTGTTGAACAAGTATTTGGTATAAATATTAAGTCTTCAAACTGTGTTGGTGGGCTCTGATGGCAGGTGGGGAAATGATGGCCCATGTCCTTCCTGGGCTGGGGACCCCTGGTGACATTTTTCTTTGCTTGGAGCACTGATATGCAGACATATACAACTTTAAAAAAAAAAAAAAACTGTATTTTTAATGCAGGAATTATCTAAGATATGCAGATTTACTTCTTTTAATTTGATCCCTTAAGGGCAAATCTTTTATGTTCTCTGAGTATGTCTTAAGGCTAATCAAGCTAATGAATTGTTGTTCCAGGTAACAACATGGAAGGTGCTTGTGTTCCCCATGCAGAGCCCACCGGCTTTGCACATGGATTTTACTGATTTGGGTTTTGCTTCCCTCTGAAGCCTGGAGCACCAGGGCACTGCCAGCCTGTGGGATTGCCCTGCTCCCTAGAAAATGCTGATTAAGCATCCAGCTACCTGCATTATGCAACAGGGAAAGAATTTGCCTGATCGTAGCCCTGTCAACACAAAGAGATTGCAGCAGTATAACAAAACAGGCTTCTAAAGTCTTGTTTAAACTGAATCTGGATTCTATTAAAAAGTGTTAGTCCAGAGAGCCACAATAGCTCACTCGGTTACCATGGGCCAAGCAGGCTCCAGTTGCATCAGACTATTGTTTTTTATTGCAGTCCTCTCCTCCATCCTGCACGTTTGTTATTCATTAATTCTAAAATATCAATCAAAAAGATCCGTGGCATCCTCTGGTCCCAAGTGGAATTTTCCTGGGTGGGATTTCTAATAAGCTTCTAACTGCTTTCACTGTGGCCTCGCCTTTTTAGTTTAAAATGAATGATTTTCCATTCTTGAGAGCCTGGAGCTAAGAGAACTTGCACCTAGAGCCTTTCTTTGACTTCTTTTTAATTCTGCCTGTGTATAGCAGAGGCTGGTGCAGCCATCCATAGTTCCTGAGATATGCCAGCTACTGTGTGGGAAGAAAATGTAATATATATGATGTCTTTCTGGATGTTTGTGGCTTTGTATAATTGTCTTGTCTAGAGCAGTGGAATTTTTGTTGAGAAATCCTTATCTGTTGGTAGATCTCTGGTTTATAACACTGCTGTTTAAATAAATTGTTTGAAGTCCTTGCCTTGGAGATATCTCCTGTGCCGTGTTCAGATTGCTTGTTTCCCTCCCACAGCAGCTCTAAGTTGGAAATGCTTTTTTTGTTTATAATAAGAGGAAGTTTTTTATTCTACATATCCCAAAGGATTGCTGCACTCTTTGGGTGATGTGGAATGTCAGAACTTCCCATGTGTACAAATTCACCAGGGAAACATGGACAGATCCTGCCCAAAAGCTTGGATTGCAGAGGCCATGCAGAGAACTATTCCCAAAGGTTTCCTCTGTCATGCTGCTGCCTTCCATGCTGCAGCAGGGATTTCAGCTATGGACAGGGATGTGTCTAATGGATTTGTGTTACAGAAGAGCTCCAGGGGCTGATCTGTGCCCTGGGTTTGACATTTTGGAGCTGTTGGGGTTGGTTATGGCCTTGGCTCTCTGGGCTTGGGCTCTGAGGTACCTTCCTGTCAATGATGAGGGGGGAGAAGAAACTCCAAACCCACATTGCATCCTGAACAAGAAGCTGGAAGAAAAAGATCCTCAGGAATGTCTTCAAAAGACTTGACAGTGCTGTGACCTTATAATTTTCCTTGAAGCAGAGTCCTGAGCTGCCAGCAGTGGCATTTTGTGTGTCTGAAGTGCATTTCCCCTGGTTCCCATGGCTGCAGGCACACCCACGGGATGGAGCTCTGCATCCCACAGCCCCCAGCTGGCAGGGGGTGAGGAGGGAGTGGGCTCTGCTTGGCCCTGGCTGCTCTGGGGCTGAGGCTTTTGCTCCCCATCCCTGCTGCTCCTTCTGCCCTTCCACCTCTGCTCTGGCACCTCATTCCCAGTCCAGCAGTGAAATGAGCTGTATCTTTATTAGGTTCAGTTTCTAATTCATTATCATTTCTGTTTCCAGAAAAGGCATTCTCTGGGAGGAATATGATCATTTTTGAAGTGTTGGGACCCCCCTGCAAGTACCATGCCCTTGTGTGCTTGGGTGACTCGTGCTTTGGCACCTGCATTGTTCAAACATTTCTGGTTCTCTTAGCTTATTCCTTTCCAGGTGTTAAAATTAACACAGAGGGCAAAGGGATTGTCAATAAATGTGAAAAATAATGTCAATAAAATAACAGCAGATGCCTTTTCAGGCGTGGGATTGCATCATGGAATTTGTTTTCGTGACCCAGACTGCAGGAGAGTTTACAGGACGGCTGAGCAGTGTCACTAAAAGCCAGACAGTGTTTTTACCAGTTAATCCCCAACATCCTAGAGCTGGAATTAGGGCCTCTTCTTAGCTTTCAATGGAGGAACATGATATATCTCCTAGGTTTGGTGAGGGACCCTTAGGACAGAATCTCTTCTCTGCAGCATGTTTGTAAATTTGCTGGACTTCAAGCTTCCCTTGCCCCTGGCAAGACTGCAAAATCCCAGGTTTACCTTTCCTTAAAGCTGCTTTTCTCTGCTGTTAAGGTGACAAGCTGTGAGCTGTACTGAGGTGAAAAAATGAGTTAAAAACCCAGAGTCACTGCCGAGAATGGGCTCATCTGCTGTGCACTCTCAGGCTGTGGTCAGAGACACTTGGGCACCAGCAGAGCTGAACATAAATAAGGGCAGTCATAAAGCCCAGTGTGGGGATCAGTCTCTCTTCAGCCTCTTTCATCTCCCAGGAGAGTTTAAAAAAAAAAAAAAAGTGTATATATATATATACACTTTAAAAAAAAAATTATATAAATATTATATATATATAATATATATCATTATATATTATTATATAATATATATAAAGATATATATTTATATATATAAATATATAAAAATATATTAAAAGAACTATCAATATAAATATATTTTTATTATATATATTTTATATATTATTTATATTTATATATTTATATATTATATTATATAAAATATACTATATACTAATAATATTAATTCTATAATAAATTATAAATTATATAATAAATAATAAATAATATATATTAATATTACTATAATATATATCTTTAAAATAGATATTTATTTTTATATACATATATATTTATATTTATATTTATATTTATTTATTCCTGAGCCATCAGTGGCAGCTGGACCAGTGTGTTTGAGCTGCATGTCTGTGCTGGGTTTGCCCAGGCTTTTTCTGCTGTATTTTTCCTTTGGCTGGGTTATTTTATCTCACCCAGGTGAGAAGAAGATAAAAGACACTGAATGAGGATGGATTACCAGCCTGCAACTTCCTTTCTGCAGCTTAGCTATAAATGTAAATTGTGGTTTGGGTCCAGGGTTCCCCACTTAAAACTGGCAGATGTTGAATACCAGAATTACACATGTGTTGTTGATCAGCATTTTCCAACCCCACTGTTGTCTGTTAGAGGATCAAAAGATCAAAAATCAGCATTTTGCTAAACAAAGGAGGCAGAAGGCAAACAGCAGTTTACCATAATACAGAAGATGCCTCTGGTTTCTCTGGCTCTTTGCAGCTCTGCCTTGGAGATTATGGGGATAGGTTTGGGGCTTTGGCTTTTTTGAGTTTCTTTTGTCTTTCCAGTCTATAAAGTTCTGTTTCTTATTATCATTGTTTCTGCTTTCCAACAACCTAAGATAGCAAGTTGGCTCAGAAATTCTCTTTCTCATTTTAGCCACAGCAAATGTTGCTCCATACATTCAAAGTGCTTTTCCAGGTAGGCTTCTTTGGAATCTGAGTGGTTTGGGTTGCAGGCTTTTGTTTGCACTGAGCTGGAAGTGGTTTCTGTGGGTTAGAGGGTGGGACTTGCTTCATTACTTTGCAGGTTGGGCAAAATAAATTCAATTTTTACAGAGTTATCCAATGTCCTTTTGTGCAGTCCTGCAGTGGGAGTGACACAAAGCCTGCTGTACAAAAGGCAGTGGTGTGATTCTGGCTTCCAGCTTTATCACTGAAATATCTGCAGATAAAAAGCTGCAATTCTCTTAGGGGTTTTTTTGGGCTTTAAAATAGAAAAAAAAACCCTCATGAATTTTTTTTTCCATGTCATTTTGCACAGCCTTCATCAGAGCAGTCAGATGCATTGTGTTTACCTTTACTGGTGCTTCCCTGGCTGTTTTTCAGGAATGGATTTGATGATGTGGGGTCTTGAGGGTGTATGGGATCTGGAAGTGTTCAGTGAACTGCTGTGTGTGATGTTACACACACCCCAGTGTGCAGGAGGAGCAGAAAATGGTAAGCTGGGCTTATAAGAATTAGCATTCTTAATAATAAAATAATAATAAATTATGATAATATTGTTTATAATAATAAATTCATAACAACCCCAAACATGGGGTTATTATGGGGTTATAAGAATTAACATAAAACTCTTCATTAATTATGTGTGTGTGGGAAATAAATTTGTAGAAAATTTTTAACTCTTGACAGAAGGCTGACATAGTATACATTTGTCTGTAAACTTTGAGACAAATGTTGACTGAGAAATGCTATGGAATAAGACAGACATTGCTGAGAGAGAAAAAGAACTAGAAACAAGTTTCAAAAACTGGCCTTATGAAAAAACTAAATACTTTAGAGAAATAGAATATTTCTATTATATCTTTATATCTATTTATATCTTTATATCGATTATATCTCTTTCTATATTTCTATTTATATTCTAAATATTTCGTCATTATATGTATTATATTTATGTAATTATTTTATTATATATTTTAGAATCTTTCTAAAATATATAATAAAATAATTCCATAAATATAATAAATAAAATATATAATAAATAATTACTCTATATATATAGAGTAATTAAGAAATAAAGAAATATATATAGTAATAATATATTTTATATATATTAATATATATTTTATATATATTATATATATAGAGAAATATATAGTAATTAAGAAATATAATAAATAAAATATATAATAAATAATTACTCTCTATATATATAGTAATTAAGAAATATATATATTAAGAAATAAAGAAATATATATAGTAATAATATATTTTATATATATTAATATATATTTTATATATATTAATATATATATTGAGAAATATATATAGTAATTAAGAAATATAATAAATAAAATATATAATAAATAATTACTCTCTCTCTATATATATATATAGTAATTAAGAAATAGTTAGCTTCTAAGTGTAATAGCATGAATTATAACCTCTGTATTGTCTCACCCTAATCATGAGACTAAAAACAGAATAAAAATTTTTAAAACCCCTCTCAGTTACCCCATCTCTATGTCTAAAATGAACTTAATCCAACGTGTGGGAAGGAATCTGCTGGCTGTGGTTGCTGTGAGCGTGAGCAGCACGAGGGGAAGGGCAGGGCAGGACAAGGGCTCCTGGTGGCCCTGCAGCCTGGGCAGTGCTGGCTCTGAGCCTCAGCCCAGGTGGGAGGGAGCAGGGTGGGCTCTGGGGCTGCACAAGGGTGGAGAGGAGGGGTTGACACAATCACACCTTGAGTTGGGTTGGAGTAACCTTAGGTTGGAGTAACCTTAGGTTGGAGTAACCTTAGGTTGGAGTAAGCTCCCAGGTGCTGTCTGTGAGCAGCCCCCAGGGCAGACATCCAGTGCCATTCCAGGCATTCTTGGAAATACCTGGGGCTGGCGACTGCCCCACCTCCCTGGGCAGCCCTTGCAATGCCCAACTGCCCTTTCTCTGAAAGGTTTTCCCTAATTCCCAAACCAAACCTTGAGTAGTGACAGAACAACAGGTTTTTTGTTATGGTGTAAAATCCCAGTTCCCAGTTCAGTAGATGAGTGTTGTGCAGGGAGGAAGGAGGAAGTTGGTGTGAACTCCCTGGCTCTAATAAAGTGAGAAGACTCCCCATAAATACAGATTTGGCAACTGCTGAACTTTAAGGATGGGGGAGAATATTTGCTACTGGAAATCATCTTCAGATTCAGCAGCAGCTTGGACCCAAAGGATGCTGAAGCTCCTGGGCTGGTGGTTTGTGCTGGATTATTTCTTGCATGGACAGTAGGTTAGTGCCTGAAAAATCGTTTGAGCTTTGATAAGGGAAAAAACCAACCAGCACAGAGAAGTGAGATGCCCAAAATACCCTGCAATTAGAAGTAAATACATTGGTGGGATTTTTTGAGTTACTGTTTGCCAGTCATGTTACATTCCAGAAATCACAGTTAATAATTTATTTTACAGAGCAAGTCAGTCTAATGAAATTGTGTAGCAGCACCTTTTATTGTGTGAGAAAACCTCAGCATTGGTCTGTGTTTCCTTTCCCTAGAGTGGCAGTGCCTGAATATCAGTATTTTCACAATAAAGTGCAAAGATGTCTTTGAAAGGCATAGAGAAAACATTTTATTGTCTTTGTAAAAAGAGAAAGCAAAAAGCTGATGGATTGCAGAGAAGCACAACCCAGCAATGAGTTATATATTTTAGAATATTTCTAAAATACATAATAAAATAATTACATAAATATAATACATATATATGTATTGTATATAATATATATTATGTAATATGTATAATTACAGAAATATAATACATATATATGTATTGTATATAATATATATATTATGTAATGTGTATAATTACAGAAATATAATACATATATATGTATTGTATATAATATATATTATGTAATATGTATAATGACATAAATATAATACATATATATGTATTGTATATAATATATATATTATGTAATATGTATGATTACATAAATATAATACATATATATGTATTCCATCAGTTCAGAAAGGAGCTCAGACCTGAGCTATGATGAAATGGTTAAAGCATGGAGACTGCAAGGGAAATGTTGGAAAGTTAAATAGGGAAAGAGCAGCATTAATGTAAAGCTGTTTGGTCAAAGGGGTTGTAATCAATACAATTGGGATTTTATGACATCCATAGAAGGAATATTGCTGTCTCCCAGCACAGAGGGCTGTGCACTGGCAAACATTGAATCAGAAATAGATGCTCACCTGTTAAACTGCCCATACTGCAGCTGAAAAGGTGAGGTGATCCAGGGAGGGAGGAACAGGGGTGTATCTGAACTGTATTTTTATTAAATGGATCCATAAGGCTGTCACTGAAATGTTGTCACTGTTTTTAGTGTCTCTTCAAATCAGTGCTGAGAAGGGTTTCAAAAGAATTGGAATTTCTTACACAGAGACATGAGAAGTGTAAAAACCTTTGCTAGAGTAAGAAATTTTCCTTTGTACTATCAACAGAGGGGTAAAAAAATTCAGTTCCAAACAGGTGAAGCATCAAAAATTGAAACTTGAATATTTTGTTCAAGAATTTCTTATCAGTATTTGTGTTAATCCTTCATTTCCTGTAGGAAAAGACATCCTGTCCTAAACAGATGCATGGAGGGATGTCCTCTTCTAATGTAAAAATCAGATTGGATTGGATAACAGCAACCTGTGACCTGAAGTAGTGAGGATAAATGAGCTGAAAGGGGGGAATAAATGGCTGAATGAAGGGCTTGAAGGATCAGAAATCTTTCCTCTCCTGTCCCTGTTCCTTCCTGCAGTAACTTCCCAAGGATTGCCTGGGCTGCTTCTCCTCTGCAGGCACTGCTGGGGATGGGGACTCACCCAGGGCTGCTCTGGGTGTCCCTGGGATGGCAGGAGGGAGTGGAGCCTCTGCCTGTGCTCCTGAATCCCCTCTGCTCAGGGCAGGAGGGAGCTGCAGCCTCTGCCTGTGCTCCTGAATCCCCTCTGCTCAGGGCAGGAGGGAGCTGCAGCCTCTGCCTGTGCTCCTGAATCCCCTTAGCTCAGGGCAGGAGGGAGTGCAGCCTCTGCCTGTGCTCCTGAATCCCCTTAGCTCAGGGCAGGAGGGAGTGCAGCCTCTGCCTGTGCTCCTGAATCCCCTTAGCTCAGGGCAGGAGGGAGCTGCAGCCTCTCCCTGTGCTCCTGAATCCTCTTAGCTCAGGGCAGGAGGGAGTGCAGCCTCTGCCTGTGCTCCTGAATCCCCTTAGCTCAGGGCAGGAGGGAGTGCAGCCTCTGCCTGTGCTCCTGAATCCCCTTTGCCCACTACAGGAGGGAGCTGCAGCCTCTCCCTGTGCTCCTGAATCCCCTTTGCCCACTACAGGAGGGAGCTGCAGCCTCTCCCTGTGCTCCTGAATCCCCTTAGCTCATGGCAGGAGGGAGCTGCAGCTCTCCCTGTGCTCCTGAATCCCCTTAGCTCAGGGCAGGAGGGAGCTGCAGCTCTCCCTGTGCTCCTGAATCCCCTCTGCTCATGGCAGGAGGGAGCTGCAGCCTCTCCCTGTGCTCCTGAATCCCCTTTGCCCGCTGCAGGAGGGAGCTGCAGCCTCTCCCTGTGCTCCTGAATCCCCTTAGCTCACTGCAGGAGGGAGTGCAGCCTCTCCCTGTGCTCCTGAATCCCCTTAGCTCAGGGCAGGAGGGAGCTGCAGCCTCTGCCTGTGCTCCTGAATCCCCTTAGCTCATGGCAGGAGGGAGCTGCAGCTCTCCCTGTGCTCCTGAATCCCCTCTGCTCATGGCAGGAGGGAGCTGCAGCCTCTGCCTGTGCTCCTGAATCCCCTTAGCTCATGGCAGGAGGGAGCTGCAGCCTCTCCCTGTGCTCCTGAATCCCCTTAGCTCACTGCAGGAGGGAGCTGCAGCCTCTGCCTGTGCTCCTGAATCCCCTTAGCTCATGGCAGGAGGGAGCTGCAGCCTCTCCCTGTGCTCCTGAATCCCCTTAGCTCAGGGCAGGAGGGAGCTGCAGCCTCTCCCTGTGCTCCTGAATCCCCTTTGCCCATTGCAGGAGGGAGTGCAGCCTCTCCCTGTGCTCCTGAATCCCCTTAGCTCATGGCAGGAGGGAGCTGCAGCCTCTGCCTGTGCTCCTGAATCCCCTCTGCTCAGGGCAGGAGGGAGCTGCAGCCTCTCCCTGTGCTCCTGAATCCCCTTAGCTCATGGCAGGAGGGAGCTGCAGCCTCTCCCTGTGCTCCTGAATCCCCTCTGCTCACAGCCCCTGGCTTTTCTCATGCCACCACAACCTGGGGGAAGCCTGGGATGTTTATACCCAGCCTTATTTATAATAAGTGCTGTTTATTTTTGTGCAGACGGAAAGGAATCTGTGTGTGAGCACATGCACAGGATTTTTTGTTGTTATTAGGGGTGGTTTTTAGTGCTTGGGGTGGGTTTGCTGTTTTTCTAAGCTCAGAGAAATGCCAGGGATCAAAGCAAGGCAATCTGAAGGAAGGAGCCAAGTACAGAGACTCACTAATGCTTCTGAAATTCCACAGGAGCAGGACTAAGAAAGCCACAGTCGTTCTGTGAAGATCTCATCTGTTATTATTTTGTCAAAAATACACTTTGCAAACACTGCCATGTCAATATTCAGAGTAGATGACTTCAAGCAATGAGTGTTTTGGCTCGGTGTGCAGGAGCTGTTATTCTTTATGATGTTACAGGATCTCAGACCTTGAAGAGCAGTGAAAGGAATGGTTTGTGTTCCTCAGAGAAACACGAGAGAGCGAATTTTTTTTCCCAGGGCAGAAAATATTCCTGTGTTCAGTTGGTTTATTGGGGTTGTTGTAGCCTGTTCCCTGTCTTTGCTTCCAAGAACCACCTCTGGAAAAAGCAGAATTGCAGGTTAAAGCTTGCCAGAGGACAGATTTGCTATCAGGCACTTGGAGGTTGTGCTTCAGCATTTATTTTGGATAAATTTCGGGGAAGGAAGTGAGTACAAGATTGATCTTGGCCTTTATAAATAGCACTCCAAGCACCTCAGATCATTTTCTGCATTGCCATGTCTTGAGTTACTTGGTTGCACAGCAACGCAGCCCAAAAATTGCATTTTCACAGAAAATAGCAGCTCCTCTATTTCTTCATTGCTTATTGTCATGTTACTCAATTGATTTAAACGTGCTGGTGTGGATGTTTTTCACTCCCTACACTGCCTGTGTGGAGAATGACAGTGTTGGTTGTACCAGTTCCCTGGAAATGTCAAAGGAGGAAGAGCACTGTTCTCAAATGATGCATTTTAGTTACACCAGTGCAGTTCTACTCAACTCATGACCCTTTTTAATACCAAAATATTTCAGCCTCAGCCTGGCAGATGCTTTGTGCAGTGTCACAGAGTTCCAAGGAACACTGAAGCAAATGGAGTTTTCCCATCATAGGGATTTAATAACAAACAAGTATTAGCAAAGTTTTGTAAAGATTAAAGGTTTTTACACCTCTTCATTTTCCAAAACTTTACAAAAATATATTTTTTCTCCTCCTAGCTCTCCTGTTGGCTCCACACAAAACACATGCAGGATATTGGTTTTTCTCTTTCTGTCCCAATTCAGATTCCCCCTTTTCAGTAACACTCCATGTGCAGGGGTGTGGTGGGGCTGGGGAGCACCAGGAGGGAATACAGAGATTTTTAGAGTCTGTGGTGCCAACAACCAAGCATTGTAGGCACCTTTAAAGCCTGGAGGCTGTTGATGTGCTGTGGGCTGCTGGGTTTGCCAGGGATAGAGAGGACAAGGCGGGGAGTGGGGCCAAGGAGCTGATGTTTCAGGCAGGATTCTGCTTTCCCAAATCCATTTGCAGTGTCTGGTGTGTTGTAGCCTTTCCTCCTTTTCCTCCTTTTCCTCGGCGTGGAGCTCAAACTGGAGATAATTTTACTGCATGCAATAAGATTGACAAAATAATTTTCCTGCACGGCACAGTAAGACATGAAAAGTGCCTTTTCAAAAGTACAATAAACAAAGAAAAGATGTTTGTGTAGGAAAAAAAAAAAAATTGGAGGAATAATAGGAGTAGGGAAATTGCTCCTGTTGCTTTAAGGTAGCTTTTAAAAATAGGAGTAGTCAGTTAATGCTCCAGCCTTTACCACAGTAAACATATAATTGTGAGCTGATTGTGGTGAATTCCTAAACAACAGCCCCCATCAGCAGAAGTCTGCAGGAGAGAGCTCGACATCTGGAAGCCAGCAGCAGTCAGGATTTTATTAAGCAGCACTGCCAAATAAAATCTGAGCACTGCTATAAATGATATAAAAATAAAGATTGGCTATGGTGTAACATCTGGAGATGCCAGCAAGTGAGCCTGGCTTTGGAGCTCTGGGTGAGAGCAGCAGAGCTTTCCCAGCAGCTTGGGAGCCTGAGGGGGACATGGTGGGCAGGGATGTGGCTCCCTGTGCTGCTTGTCATGATCAGGAGCTGAAGCACGAGTGGAATAAAGAGAGAAACTGCAAAATTGCTCTCAGTGTGCCTGAGCTATTTTTATTGGAAAGGTTTTGGCCACGTACAGTCTGTGTTGTGTATTCCAGACCTAAAGCAAGGTTTATGGGATATGATTTTCTGTCTGTGAAGGGGGTTAGGAGAGAGTGACCTTATCCCAGGGAGCAGGGGCCTGCCCTCAGGCTGCAGCCTGACCCATTCATTTCCAGCGCTCACCCTGTGGATGGAGCCGACTCCTCAATGGGTCGGTGGCTGGGACAGCCCTGGGAGCCAAGGCTCAGGGTTAGGGAGGGGGTGCAGAGCTGACCCAGATGGGACCCAGCAGCCATCCCAGGAGCCTGGGGCAGGGAGGGTTTGGGGCAGCATCCCCTGGAACGTGGGCTCTGGCACCACAGAATAAGGGGCACTTTGCCCTTGTGCACACTCCTTTTGGGGGACATTGGTTCCCCTCCATGCTGAGCAGGACATTGCCCCATCCAGTGGCAATCAAATTCACTCCTGTGCATTCAGAAAGCTGTGATTAAGAGCTCCTTCTCAGCCTTTGTGTCTAGAAATAGCCCAGAACACCGCAGCACAAAGTTCAAGGATGTAAAAGAAGTGCTATGTTAAATGAAATTCCAAGCTTTCATTTTTTGAACAGGTTTTTGATACAGCTCAGCTTGATACAACCTGCTATTTACCAGCCTGGCCTTTAATATTGGATCTGCTTTCCAATTATGCTTCAATTCATACACCAGTTGCAGAGGGCGTGTGTGGGTGTACGTGCGAGAGAGGGAGATTGATTTTGTTCTTTAAAAATGTGAAGTCTGCACTAACTATGAAAACCCATCAGAATTTCTAGCACTTAAATGCCATTTCCTTTCTCAATGTGCTACCAGCACTAAGCAATGTTCACGACATCTCTCTGGCAAGTGAAGGAGTACATGCTGCTTTTTCAGAAGTAGAATATTAATACAGATATCAGTGAGAACCAGGCTGCAGATCCTTTCCAGAAGTAAAGAGTTAAAGTGAAAGCTCAAATTATGACTTAGAAGCAAATGCATAAGGTCTTAGCTGTGTTTTTCAGCAGTACATGAGTGAAAATGGAATAAAGAGGGTGCACGTTGCTGTATGTTGGAGTCACCTCTTGTGTGTGGAACAGCAGATTTGGGGAACCCTTTTTGCCACCACTTTGCACAGATCACATTTGTATTCCTGGTTGTTTTTCCCAGCCACTGTCTTTTTTGTGTGCTGTATTCCTGAGTCGTGGCAGTGCTTTGGTGGTCACTGTGCCTGAGAAGCCCAATGGAGTGTTCTCTCTGCCTTTCTGTAGTTCTGACTGGTCTTTTCTATTTCCTGTAGGTTTAAAGACCTATCTGATCTCGGGTCAGAAGGTGAAGGAGCCCCAGTGCAGCTGTTCTCAAGCTTTGCTTCCTGGCTTGGAGTCTGCAGACGGAGCCAGGACTCCGGGAACGTCGGCAGCCGACAGCTCCAGCGACCCCTCCAAGACAACCAAACAGGTGGAAAAGCCCAAGGTGAGCTTTCCCCTCCAAGCCCAGCAGCACAGATCTCATAGCAGGGCTGGGGAAACCTTATGGGCTTGTTTATGCACTGCTTTACATATTTACATATGTATGGGTGTGTGTACATAGAGTGACAAAACAGAGTTTGAGGGAGGAAAAATGTACCAAGTTAAATGGCTTGCTTCCCACTTGGCAAACAATCCCTAAAATAAGGTGAGCACTTCTCAAAGGTGGTTTCACATAAATATTTCTATTTGTATTTCAGGACTGAGAGGTCAATGATGCTTTTTAAATGGTCTGGATTGTGTGGGGGGGGAAAGAATATGATTTATGCAGCTACTGGAACTTCTGGGATTTTCTGGTTTTGCTGCTTCTGCCGTTCCTCTGTCATGAAGGTCATGTACCTGTGAGCCTTTCCATGAGTATTCAACAGACATCCTGCAAAAGATAATTGGATTGTTTTTGTGATGGGAGAAAATGCTCTGGTGGGTTGGGAGATTGGTTTATCTGCTTGCTCTAGAAACCTATATCTGGAGCTGAGGGCAAGGATTTGTATGGATTCAGCTTGGAGGAATTATGACACTTTGTTATGTTCACACCTCTCACAAGATCTCTTGACAAGGAAATCTGTGAAACAATGTGTATTGCTTCAGAGCTTTGCTGTTACTCTCCATCTTCCATCTCAGAACAGATTTCCCAAACAACAGATGTCTATTCTCTCTTTTCATTTGTGCTAAGAATTCCTTCTCCTGGGCTGCTGAGGTGGGCGCAAATGTCAGAGCCAGGGGTGGCCATCTGCAGGTCCCTGTCCTTACACTTCAGTGTGCTCAGTCCTGACTGAAACTCTTCAACTCAGGTTGGAGACTCAGCTGACAGAGTTGATGTGGGGATAATTTTCATTCTACTTCGTTTTTACTGCTTCTCATTTTTTTCTGGATTAGAAGAGCATGAGTAGGGCACCTTTACCCTGCCTCTGCTCCCAGTTTTAAGATTTGAAGTAAAAACACTGGATTACAGGTGAGATCAGCTGGAGGGCTGACCCAAAGAGATGGTCCAAAGTGGAGTGAGCTCCTTAGGGAGCAGGCTAGGCTGTTTAACCACAGAAGGGAGCTGTAGCCATCTTTATCCCTCCCCAGAATGTGCACTGAGTGTGGTTTGACAGCATCCAAGTTACTGGTGATATGTTGCTATTCCTTTTCCTGTGTAAGAAAGAATATATTTGGCATCCTACTGGCACCAGCTTTCCAGCTCCTTCTTGCCTTTCAGTGAAGGCAAAGGCAAATAAGGCAGGAAAATACATCTTAGAGCTGGGGGGAGCTGTACAGATAAACCTGTGAGTGCTGCCCAGGCTGTGGTCCTGCAGAGGTCCAGGTGTGGCAGTGACAGAAACTCCTTCATTTCAAGCAGTGAAGGAAGAAGAATGTGCCAAGTGGAGCAGGATTGCTGAGCTGCCAGTGTGGAGCAGAAGGGAGAGAGGAGGGATGAAGCCAAGCAGTGAAGCTGTGGCTGCTGTTCTGAGAGACAGTGAGGATGCCTTGGGAATGTCAGACAGCAGAGGAGGCTGTGACTGAGCACTGAAACTGCACTGGAGGATGGGGCTGACCCCCCTGCAGCTGGGGCTTGGTAACATTGTTGTGTACAAACCTGGGCTGGAGCTTGTTAAAATGGTCTGGGTGCAAAATGAGGGCTGTGTTAAGGATCAGCTCTGTTGTGTTTTCTGAGCTGTGGGGTGATTTACCTTGCACAAGGGCAGCTACAGCTGCACCACTCTTCTGAGCAGCTGGGATGTGATGTAGAACATGCTGCTGCCCCACCATGCTTTGTCCCTGATGTTCTGCTCTGGAACTGTTGCTGGCTGTTAATTTAGAATATCCTGAGTGGAAGGGATTGACAAGGATCATTGCAGTCCAGCTCCTGGCCCTTGAAATGTTTCATTGCTGAGTGAAGTCTCTAGAGTGCAAAAACACCAGCATGGCTGTGAGTGAGAGAAGCAGAAACTGAAAGAAGCTGCTCAGAAGAGCATCTCAGACAAGTGCCAGCCCAGATTCAGCTGCCTGGGCTGCCCTGCTGTGCTCCAGCTGCTGCAGAGTTTGTGTCTGGAGGTGCCTGCTTTTCCTCACCACCCTCAGCACTGCATCTCTGGCCAGGGATTTCCCAAGTGGCCTCACAGCTGTGACTCCTGAGCCTGCCTTGCCCCAGGGCCCTGGTGCTGAGGGGATTCTGGATGAGCCCAGGTTTCCCTGTGACTGTGTGAGCACTGCCTTAACAACCTGTTCTGAGCCTGTCTCTGCCCACAGGAGAGTGGGGAGCATCCCTGTCTCTCCCAGCACAGCTGCAGGGATTCCTGACTCTAAACCATGCTCTTGAGGGGAATGTGCACCAGCTTCTCTCTGCTGGGGAGAATCACAGAATCATGGGATGGTTTGGGTTGGAAGGACCTTAAAGCCCATCTGCTTCCACCCCATGCCACCTTCCACTATCCCAGGTTGCTCCAAGCCTCCTCCAGCCTGCCTTGGACACTTCCAGGGATGGAGCAGCCCCCACCTTCCTTGGGAAAACCTGTGCCAGTATTTCACCGCTCCCATTGTAAAAAATCTCTTCATTGTATTGAATTTAAATTTCCTCTCTTTTGCTTTAAATATATATGTATGTTAAAAAACCCCCACAAGGTATGACTGCAGTTTGAGCAGAGATCATGCACAATTTTTGAAAAGGAGTGGGTTTCTTTTTTACAGCTTTTGGGTTTTTCGTGAGGGTTTTTTTTCAAGCCTGCAGCTTGCTGGTAGGGTCTGGAGATAATCATTTGCAAAAGAATCATGACTTACATGCCGACTGTTTTAAATACAAAGCTGTAAATGGTGTCAGTGTAGGAGGAGATGACTCCAGCTCTGCAAAAGAGACTTAAGCAGGAGAGGCAAAATTACAAGCGAGTTGAAATATTTTTATTTTAAAGGGAATAAGTGGCTATATTGGATGCAAAGGATGACTTTCACATTTTGGGCTTAAAAGGATGTTCTAGAGGATAAAATCTGTGAAGGAAAGTCAGGAGGGAGAGTGCAACAGTCATTGATCCATGAAAGGAATTGTATTTCCTCCTCTGGTGTATCTGTAGTGCATTTAACTGCAAACCTTGTTGCAGTTTGAATGTCAATAAGATGTGTTTACATTACTGAAATGGTGAACACAGAGGGTAAGAACTCTGAGTAAATCTATAATAGCAGGTGGGTTTTTGAATGAAAACACTCTACCCTGCTTAAGTGGTTTTGGTGTCAGTTTATCTTCCCTATCATCTTTATGACATGCCTCACTTGACAGGGATTCATAAGCTGTTGTAAAAATGTTTTAATGATTGCTTGGTATGAAAACAGAAAGTCCTTTGCTTGTCTTAGTGTTTGCTGGAAGTGCATTAATGTTTTATTCATGGCACTGAGGTCACAGCACAGGGAGCCTGTGAATGCCTGCCATAGAGAAGGAAGTTAATGATGTTGACTTGAACACATGGGGAAAGTCAGAGGAGCTTCTGCCTCTTCTCAAAGGTCAGGCTGCTTTTCCAAGCCCTTTGTCTTCTGGCTTCACCCTGGGAGCTGAGTGTTGGAGGTGGTCTTGCTAATTTATTAGCAGGATCAAACAGGGAGTGGTTTCTTCATTTTTTGTTCGAGGTATTTGTTTTTGTCACCACTACCTGACTTTTGCCATGGATAAATCTAAATCTAACTCCCAGAGGGTTACTTAGTAAGGCTTGGTAGCCCACTGGCAATTTATTTTTTAGTCCATCTAGCAAAACCTTCCACCAAGTGGCCAAGACATTTGTGATGGTTAGTCAGAGATTATTTTTAAACAAAACCATTTGAGAACCAACTCCATAGTTTCTTCAGCTGTGTTGGTATTTGTTCAGACTGCAGAGGTTCAGAACTGGATGTAAATTGTTTATCTGCTGCCAGGTTAGGAAACTCAGAGTAATTTCAGTGCCCAGGCTGGACTGTGTCCCTGAGGAGCAGCAGACAGCACGGTCTGCTGGCTGCTGAGGAGGCTCCAGGTCCACATGAAAGCCTTTGAGAGGCATTGGTGAGTGGGTAAGTGTCACAGGGAGAGTGGGCTGGGAGAAACATCTGAAAAGTAAACAGGCTGGGTGTTTCCAGGTGGGACATCAGAGGGGGAAAAGGAGCATTAGGTGAAAAGTTAGTTCTGAAAAGACTTAACTCTGAAATGGGGAGTGAACCTGGAGGCAGAAGTTGTGGGCTTGGTTGGACTAGAGAGGCTTGAACGTGTCCAGAGCAAACAGACAAAATTAAATGGGATGTTGAGTTTGTGACAAAAGGCTCAAGTCCTTGCTGGAAAACCTGCTGTGGTGTTTAGTAGCAGACTTTGGTGAGCCTGGTCACCAAAGAACTGAACTCAGGGTCCCTCTGAGCAGGGTCCTGCCTCAACACTGCCTGCACTGGAGAAGAGAGTGAAGAACGTGGAAGATAAAATTCCAGGCTTAATTCTCCTAAAGAAGGTTGCATTTTAACTTTAAGGAATTAGCTTGTTTTAAAAGCTCAAATGCAGCATTTTAAGTTTCTTCCAAAATACACAACCTGAAACTGGTACAAATCCTGATGGTTTTGCTTTCCTTGTTCCCTGTGACATTTGCTGGGTGTTTGGCTCCAATAGCCTGAGCTCCCCTCCCCTGTCTTAGGGCTCTGTATGAAAAAGCATTTGCCTTTATTCATTTCAGATTTGTTGCTTTCCATTTCCCTGGACTATTCATAATGCATCATGGTGTTTCATGTTTTTTCTGGATTTTGCTGCATTTTGTGCTGTCTTCTCTCCTAATGGCATTCAGGTCCCTTCACAGGCAGGTTCCACCCAGGGAAATTGCACTTCTCCTACTAAAGAGTGTTTTATTCCTCTTGGGGAAGTCCTTTGCCTGTACACAGTGATTCCAGTCTATCTGTGATCTTACACTAGTGAAGCTTTCCTGGATTAGATTGAGCTCCAGCAAACAGCAAATCTGTGATTTATTTTTGAAATGGCGCATTCTGTTCCAGGCAAATTTTGCTCCCTGCCTCCCATTCTGTAGCTTTGTTTATCTTTGAACCGTGCTGCAAGTATACAAGTGGACTGAATTACCAATTGCATCATACTACAAGGACACCAGAACATTCCTGGCTAAAATTCTTTTGTCTCATTTCAGCCTTGCCCTTCATGTAGTACCACCCTTGCTCCCCACTGCGATGTCAGCATAGATGAAGGAGCTATCCAAAATGGTTGTCAGGATGAGCATAAAAACAGTACCAAGGTAATTGAAGTATTTCTCACTTCCCTTTTCCCCTTATTTTTCTGCTTCCCCCAGCTTTCTTATTTTTGCACCACTATTCTTTTATCCAAGCTCTTAAGCAGCAGAACTGATTCTGATTTTTATTTTTTTGTCTTCAAAAATTTAGTTGAGTCTCCCTGCCCCAATTTTCAAAATTTTTAGTAATTTTGTGAGCTCAGCTTGATTCTGAGAAGGACCTAAGATTAGGACTCTTTAAACTATGCTGCTGGTACCCAAAGAGGAAGGTCCAGGGAGCACTCCACACTCTCCATCCTCACAGCAGCAGGCTGGGTCACCTCACACAAGTTCTGTGTCTCTCCAGCATCTCCTGCATCACCACTGTAAGACGAGACCGTTCCTGTTCACACACAGAATTCACAGCTTTAAATCAGTTTGCATCCTTTCCTGACCTACAGAAACAGCCTCTCTCACATTCCTTGTGCTGCTGCCACACTTGTTTCCTTGCCTGTTGCTTTGATATTCTCACTGAAGCCACCTAATTCCTGTGCCATGCCAGACACTGCCTGTTTGTCGTCCTGTTTGTGGCCTTTGCAGCCTCTCTGCTCTGCCTGTCACCCCTCACTCCTCCCTGAATGTTCAGCTAAATGCAGACTGAGGACAGTGCTCATTACCTGGTTGTTATATATTCTAATAAATATGATGTTTTCCCTCCCTGGAGAGAATTACTTTGTGGACATGCTCTGAGACAGTGAGCTTGTTCTTCATGTCTGTCTTACAGCTCTCCTCACCAGTAAAGCTGATTGAAAAACTTGCCAGTGCTGAGCCACTGCATTAATCTGTGTTTGTCCCTCTCTGTACTTGACATGTTGTCTCATGCTGAAATGTAAGCTCAGAAGCAGGGCCTGCCTCACTGGGATGGAGGGGTGTGTTACACAGCAGTTCTGTGCCAGAGTTCCAGGAAACAGCCTAAGAAAAGAATAAAATCCTGATCCCTTGAGCCTTGAGGGAGGTGTCAGCAGGGACTTGTCTCAAACCAGCTGGAGATCTCTAAGACAGAGAACATGTGGGAGATCTGCCTGGGCTGCCAAGATGGTAGGCAGGAGATGCTTCTTCCCCAGGTGGCCTCTGCCCACGAGCAGGGATCTCCAAGAACCAGCTGAAGAGGGATTGATTGTCCTTAGGTGCCAACTGCCTGCTTTAAATTGCTTCCTACTGTACCTGCATGGGCTTCATGTGTGTGAATCAGCAAATCACCAGACCTTCCTTGGAGATTTGTACACAGAGTTGAGGAAGAGGTCTGTAATTGCACTGGAGGAATTCAGTGGAGCCCAAACCTCACGTCCTTCTTGGGTTTGGTTCAGTTTTTGCTCAGCCAAAACTGGGAGCTGTGTCATGGCTGTCAGTAAGTCTGGGATGCCTGTTGAACTGGAAGCTCAGAGAACAGCCACATGCACAAAGTTGCTGTGGCATTTGGTTCCCAAGACTTCCTTGCAGCCTCAGCTCTCTTGGGAAGAAGAGACGTAAGCTCTCCCTGCCCATGTGTGTTCCCTTCCCACAGCCATGCTGCACTCAAGTCCCCTGTCTTTAGGGAATGTTAATGATGTTTAATCATATCCTTGGACTTGCAGGGCTCCCAACAGCCTCTGGAGCTTCCTTGTCTCTTGATGAGAGGAAACTCCACACAAGCCTCCAAGTTCTCAGGGAAACCCTACAGCCTGTTGCCTTCAGAAGTCCCAGTAACGTTGGAGCTAACAACATTTAATAAATAGGGATTTTCTCTTACACAAACAGTTTCATACTCTAATCCCTGCCTGTTAAGATTAACAGAGCACAGAGAAACCTTGAGCTGACTGAAGGGAAGAATTTTCTTGGGGATTTGAGCCTTTGCCAAGAAGCTAAAGAGAAAGTCCACGCTGACCTTCTTTGAAAGAGAGAAATTTTCAGTGCATTTTTCAAATGATCTTGAGGAACAGCAGGGAAAGCAGACAGTGCCTAGGAGTCCTAATCTTTTATTTGAGGTGATTATGGCAAAAACTGAGTTCTTGGTTTCTGCTTTTCAAGTAGCAAGTGGCTGGAGTGGTGACAAAGAAGAGAAAGGAAAAAAAGATGGTAGCTATGACTTTCAGGGTTTTTTAGGCCTCAGGTTGATCTGGGAGATGCTCTAAGCAAGTACAATCTTTAGCATAAATTAAGAAAAACCAACCCACCAAACAATGAAGGCTCTTCACTAAGAGCTGCTTGGTCAGTTGATTTGGTTTCCCTTTGCTGGTCCTCCTCACCTCAAAACCAGAGGGGTTTGCCCTGGTGTGACAGCGTTCACAGGGGTCTTAGGATGAGGGAAGAGATGAGGATCTGACTCCATGTTTCAGAAGGCTGATTTATTATTTTATGATATATATTATACTAAAACTATACTAAAGGAATAGAAGAAAGGATTTCATCAGAAGGCTGGCTAAGAACAGAAAAAGAAAGAATGATAACAAAGGCTTGTGGCTCGGACAGAGAGTCTGAGCCAGCTGGACTGTGATTGGCCATTAATTAGAAACAACCACATGAGACCAATCCCAGATGCACCTGTTACATTCCACAGCAGCAGATAACCATTGGGTACATTTTGTTCTTGAGGCTTCTCAGCTTCTCAGGAGAAAAAATCTTAAGGAAAGGATTTTTCAGAAAATATCATAGCTACAGCCTGGCTCTGCAGGATGCTCCATAGCCCCGTGCCCTCGGGGCAGGCTGGATAACCTGGCAGAGGTGTAGGAGGACTTGCTCAGGAGTTGCTCGATGTCTTCTCTTAGAAAAGAACCTGGTGACATTTGATGTGAGAAATTCTTGTGCCTCTGCCTTTCAGGAGTGTCCCTGTGTCCCCTGGTGGGCCCCTGCTGGGATCTGTGGCTGCAATCCCCTTTCCCTTCTGGTGATTATGGTGTGCAGCAAAGCATTGGCAGCACACCAAGGAAACCACCCCATTTCCTATTCCTTCCTCAGCTGCTGTCACTGTGCTGGGAGCACCTGCAAGCTGCCAAAACAACTGCTCTGAGGGCTAGAAGGGACCAGACTGGGACTGCTTCCATCTCCTGGCTCCCAGCACGTGGCTCTGGGGCTCACTCAGGCCAGGGCAGCCCGCAGGGTGGGGATCCCCATCCCCCTGGGAGGGAGGAGGAAGGGGAAGCACAACCCACCTCCCTCCTGCTTTTCCTGGAGCTCCAGGGAACCATTCCAGCACACCTTGTTATGGCTTTAGCAGTGGAGCTCCTGGCTGTGACAGGAGCCAAGCCCAAGGGTTTCCTGACTCTTCCCTGTACAGGATTCTCCTGCTGCCCCATCAATCTCCTCTTTCTTGGCTGCGTCTGAACCTTTCCCTTCACCTCTCTGTGTTCATGTGCCTCCTTCGCTTCACAGGACAGATCACACAAGGAAATGGAATTGATTTTGCATGGACAGCCAGAAAGAAGATATTTTTTAACTTTAACTTAGTTGATTTTACAATGTCAGTAACATATTTCAGCACGTGGTTGGGGTGGTGGTGATATTTATGGTATTTATTTATGGTCACTGTGGTGGCATCCAAGAATAGTCTTCTGGAGGAGCTTGTCACTTCTGTACAAGCAGGAATGGAGAAACTTCTGTCATGAGTGGGCTTCAGGATGAGGATAAATGCTACATGATAAGTGATAAGATATGGAGGGGGGGAGATGAGCACTCAAATATGCCAAGTTTGTTCTATGTTTGCATTTGAAAATGATCCTGACTAACTGCAGTTCATTTTCATTCTAACCACACTTAGCTGTCTAATTCTTTTGGAATTGCTTCAGTACATATTGGTCTAGGTCAAACAAAATGTAAAAGAGGGAACTTCAGGCTCCACAAAAATAGAATTATTTTTGTTTAAAAGTAATTTGTGCTCTCCAATGACAGCAGATTGGTGATAATGTGTACCTAAGCCATGTTGCAAGCTGCTGTCAAAATTAAAGCTGTCTTAACTAACACCAAGGCAAAAGAAAACCAGAAAAAAAGAAGTATGTCTTAGAGAAGGAGATGTAGTTTAATTTGCAGGAGTTTAATTTGTAGAATGTTTAATTTGTAGGATGAGATGCAGGAGTTTTTGTTGTAGGATGGGATGTACAAAAGGGCTGGTCCCACAGGTGGGGAAGAGGGGGAACCTTTGGGAAAGCAGCAAGGGCTGGCAGAGTGAGCTGTCTCATGACCCAGGGAGAGTCAGCACAATTTAAATGTGTATTTAAAAGCTTTCTAGAAGAATCTTTTCCATAAGATAAGTGAATGGAATTTCGGCTTGCGGTTGGTTGTCATTGAATAATGTGTGAAAATGTGCTTTGTTTTCTGCTCCCTGGAGAGTTGGTTCATAGAAGGCACAAAGGTGGCACCTGAAGAGGCACCTGGGAGGTGTGGGAGGTACAAGCCCAGGAAATGTGAGTGGGCTCAGGGCAGGGGCAGCCTGGTCTCTGTGGCCAAGGCAGAGCTCCGGGTGCTGAGGGAAAAGCTCCTCTCAGTGTTTGTTCCTTCACCTCTCCTGTCTGTTTGCTAACATTCCCTGGCTGTGTTCTGCTCTCTGTTGTCCAGGCTCCAGGAGGACACAGCCCAAAGACCCAGAATGGACTCCTGAGTCCTCCCCAGGAGGAGAAGCTGAGCAACAGCCAAACCTCTCTGTATGAGATGCTGCAGGAGAAGGGGCGCTGGGGCGGCGTGAGCCTGGACCAGTCAGCTCTGCTCCCCCTGAGGTTCAAAAACATCAGGGAAAAGACAGATGCCCACTTTGTGGATGTGATTAAAGAAGACAGGTAAGGAGAATGGAGCTGTGCAGTGGAAAACCCTGTAAAGGTATAATGGAAAATCCCAAGAAGACATACTGGGTTTCATATCTTTAGTATTTGTGTGCTTTTTGTCTGATTTCAGTAATTGTTGTCAATATATATAATATCATAACTTTCTTGATTTTAGTCTTTATTCTGCTTAAACTACAGTAGAAACTTGATGTCAGAAACTTTCTGTTTAAAATAAGTCAAACCAGTTTTTCATTGCTTCCAGGGTGAACAGTCCTGTCAGTCCTCCTTCAGCTGAGTCTTTGAAGGGGAAATTGCTCTTTGAATCACTTGGCACGAAGCTGAGCTCCATTTTATAATCCAAAGTCCTCTTAATGCATGTAGTGTGTACCTTCCTCTGCAGTTTAGGGTGCAACATAAAATCTGAACCACAAACCTCACATTTTTTAGTAGTAATAGAAGAATGTCTGATAACGTGTGGCTAATCATGAAATCCTACTGGGCTTGGAAGCAGAACTAATAGGAGTGAATTTCCATGGACTTTCTATCTACTTAGATATTGTAAAATGAGTTTCTCTCTCTATTTCAAACAAAAAAGCTTATTTTGGGCAGAGGAAATATTCTTTAAAATTTAGTAGTGTGGGATTTTTATCAACACACAACCATATCTCCATTATGGCAGGGACTTGACTGGAACAGTTAAACAGATAGCTGGAGTTTGTTATTATTTATGGCTATTTTTATTTTTATTTCGTTGCTTCCACTCAGATTGAGGGTATTTTATCTAATATCCTTGAAACTGTGTTCTCCTGTGGACTCAGCTGCTTGGAACACGGACACCATCACCTTTATGGAAACATGACTTAGGCAGGGAGAAGTGAGGAGGAGGGACAGGAGTCCCTCTCCAGTCTCTTCCTAGATTTTGTCAGTTTATCTTTCTCCTGTCGCCACTTGAGTCAAAATTTCAGGTTCTTTATTGTTTTTCTCAGTGTGTGGTGTGTCACTAGTGGCTGAGAATGGAGGTTTAGCTGATATTTCCAAATATCAGAAAATAGATGGATTGGGAATGTCCAGGTGTTGGCAGAAATCGGCCAGAACAAATAGGAATATTTTAATATTTAAAAAAATGTAACCAGCACTCTGCAAACTGTAAGGTACAGAAGTAGCTTAATTTATGCAGTTGGTCTGCTGAAGATACCTCACTCAAGTTCTTGTGTTCTGGTGCTTTCCTCCTCCACTCCCAAAATGGGTAATTTTTTCTGATTTGGAAGGAGTACCATGATTTGAGATCAGTCAAAGCCTGGCTTTTTTTTGGTCCCAATTAAATATCATCATTACCATATTAAGTGGGCCATTTCTTGTTGCCAGGGAAACTTCTCTGCTGAGTTCAGTTCATGTAAACATAACTTTCCAAAAATAATCTTCTGATTAATTAGATCTATGCGAAATGCTTTAAGCCTACCAGTTTACACTGATTTTTTTCAACATTTCTCAATGAGAAATTATATGGAATAAGCCATTTAAAAAACGTTCTTGGTCCCCTTCTGTAAAACATAATATTGGTCTTGATGAATCCAGTATTTCTGAGGATTTTTGAATGGGGAATTTGAGGTGTCTCAGAGAGGGGACCAAATTTCCTCATGGTCCTTTTACAGGAATCCCAATTTTCACTGAGTTCTGCTGTGTTGGTTTGATGCTGTTGCCAAGCCAAGTGATCTTCCCTGAGCTCTAAGCAGTGATTTCCACTGCAGGGCACTTTGGATATAAATTCCTGTTAACAGAAACTACTTAACCCAGATATGGTGCTAAAGTGCATCAATTAATGCCACAGGCTTCCTGCAGAGCTGGGAAGGGTTAAACATCCCCTGGGGGGGTTCAGGAGCCTGGAGACTGCATTAGGAACCTGCCTGGGGCTGGCTGGGAGGAAATGCTGGACACTGGGGATATTGAGCTCAGCTGTGTGCCTGAGAGGGTTTTGCATGCCAAGATTTCACCTTGGAGCTGATACCTGGGCACAATTCCAATGTTCTTTAAAAATAATAGTAATAAAGGCAGTATTAGTGTGGCATGTTTGTATTAGTACATTACAAAAGAGTTCTTTTATGAAAGTTACCAGTTCTTACAACTTGATTCTCTATATTTGACAAACAGGGAATACTTTCAGCTTTGAATCTGGCTTTACTTCTGTAAAAATCCTGTTCTTTGTTCATTGTAACCTGCACATTATTGTGCTCTTTAAAAGAAAACTGTAGTGTAAAGTTTAGAATGTTTGAATTTCATTTCACTGGGAATATCCTCAAAGGATTCTTGCTTTGAGGATTTTTGTTTCCAACAAAAATTGGGTATTCCTTAGGTTATAAACCTCCTTAAGTACAAGAAGCAAGTACTGGTATCCTGATCAGGGCAGCACTCACAATCATCTCTTCAGACTTCCAGAGCAGAATCTCAGGGATGTCTGAAGCTCCCCCAGAACTGGGTTCTGTGCAGCCCTTCATCCCCTCCTTGGGGCAGTTTCTTGTTGAAATCGTTTTTTATTATTTTAAAATTGGTTCATTTCTTTCATTTCCCACTTCCCAGTCTTGCTTGATCTGGGGAACACCCTGTGCTGGGAGGCAGAGGCCTCCTGGGAAACAGATTCTGTACTTGACTGTTTCATCAAGTGGGATCTTCCTTTTGGAGGCAGAATGAGCTGACAGGGAGCTGAGAAGGGCCAGGAATGCTGCCTTCCCCCTGGCTCCATCGTGTTCCACCTTCTGTTTCGTGCTGCATGTGGAGCTGGACTGATCCTCCTACACCCTTCACCAGCACAGCAGCACCATCACCACCTCCCCTGAGCTTCCCTGCAGGAAAAAAGGGGATTCAACAGGACTTAAAAAAATAACAACCCAAAAGCTTTCAAAATTTTTATTATAAGATGCTCTTAGAAATGTGTAAGAAAGGTGAGGACTGAAGACAAGGATGAAAGAGAGAGGGGTGACTCAAGTGAGAGTATCCTGATATTTTTAATGCATTGGCCAAGGCCAGAATGTTTAAAGGTTACCAAGTATTGGCCAAATTCATGCTTAGACTCCTTTGTCTTCTCTAGCATCAGTCTAGGAATGTGTGTTTGGTTGATCTTGCATCTCATTTAAAAAAAAAAATGCTTCCCACATGCCATCTTGTGCTGGGAGCTTCCAAGAAAACCTCTTAGGCAAGAGTTCCATAAAAATAAACAGAAAATAACCCCGAAACCAAACCCCCTTAAAAAAAGAATTCAGGCACAGACAAGCTCTGTAGGATCTTTCTTTCAGCTTCTTCATCAGCTTGGAATTTGACCTCATGTGCATCTCTGGTTTTTGCTCAGAGTCACCAGCTTGGAAATTGCCCACTCTGCCTGTGGCTCTGGTGCTGCAGCTCCCAGGGTGGGAATAGCCCTGGGAAAGGAGCCGTGGGTTCAGAGGGATTTTAGAATCAATTCCCTGTAAATAACCCATGGAATAACCTGGAAATAACCCATGTAAATAACCCAGCTGGTTGGGAATGAGAGGAGGTTCCCAGGCAGGGATGAGTGTGTGTGGAAGCTGCTCAGAGCAGGGGACAGGCACACCAGTGCCACCACAGGTGTGACCTTGCTCTGTGACCCTGGGCACGAAGCACTCGCTGCTCTGGAGTCCCTTCAGCTCCCTGGCACCTGCTCAGGGACAAAAGACTGGCACCAAGTGCCATCAGGACACTTCATTCATAAACCTCATCCTGCTGATGCAAAACTCAGACAGCTTCTTCCAGAGGATGGGGAACAAACCTGACTTCCAATGATTGAAGTCTCTTTTATGTTGTTGTGGGATTTTCTCACCTTCTGTAGAAAAGCTGAAGGTGAAGGAGGGCATAAACACCCTCTGGAGATGCTGCCTCTGGGTTCCTTAGCCCTGATATCATTAGTTGGCAGTGCCTTTGGTGATGGTGCTGGTCATTCCAAATCTCCCAGCTCAGAAGAAAATCTCAACTCTCCATCTCTTCTCTGCAGCCCAGATCATTAAGGGAATGTTCCCAGTTGAGTTACTGAGTTATTTTAGTGTCTGAAATAACAAGAAACTGCTGTTTTCTAAAATGGGCAAAGGGGTTTTTTTTCCCCATAACAATTTGTCACCTTTGTCATCCTTGGCTTGCTTTGAGCCATAGAATTCCACCCAGGACACAAATATCCCACAGCCACGTGTCTCCAGAGCTTGTGTGTCTGCAGCAGCAATTAACCTTTACTATTTGCTGGCTTATGTTACAATTATCTGTACTCATCAGTTAGATCTGGTAAATCTCTGGAAGGACTTGTTAGACTCTTCCTGGAAATATAAAAGTTTGCTTTTTTTGTGGAATATTTCCTTTCACTGAGCAAGTGATGTGGGTAAGAGGATACTTTGGTGATCAAGAAAGAAGAAAAGCCACAGGAACTTCAAAGCCAAGTGCCAGCATCCCTGGAAACAGCAGCCACAGTCTGGGGGGGCTGAAGGAGGTACAGCTGAACAAACTGATGTTGATTTTGTCTTCTCTCTTCAGCCTCATGAAAGATTACTTCTTTAAACCACCTATTAACAAGCTGAGCCTCAACTTCTTGGATCAGGATTTGGAGATGGCCTACAGGACAAGCTACCAGGAGGAGGTGTGTTTCTGCTGGCATTGCTTTCTGTCTGTGATCTGTCTAAACCACTGTCTGTCCTTGGGGTTTTTAACACATTTTGTTGCAGTTGTTTCCTGACAAGGGTCATGAAATGTCAAATGTGATTTGCTGCTTGATATTGCTTCCTCTGTAAAGAGTCTTCTTTCAGTTTATTATAGAACTGTGGAATGGTTTGGGTTGGAAAGGACCATAAAACTCATCCCATTTCAACCCCCTGCCATGGCAGGGACACCTCCCACTGTCCCAGGCTGCTCCAAGCCCTGCCCAGCCTGGCCTTGGGCACTGCCAGGGATCCAGGGGCAGCCCCAGCTGCTCTGGGCACCCTGTGCCAGGGCCTGCCCACCCTCCCAGGGAACAATTCCTAATTCCCAATATCCCATCCAGCCCTGCCCTCTGGCAGTGGGAGCCATTCCCCCTTGTCCTGTTACCCCAGGCCATCATCCAAAGTCCCTCTCCAGCTCTCCTGAGTCCCTTTAGGCACTGGAAGAGCTCTGAGGTGTCCCTGGAGCCTTCTCCTCTCCAGGCTGAACACCCCCAGCATTCCAAGCCTGACATCAGAGCAGAGGAGTTCCAGCCCTTGGAGCATCTTTTGCCATGCCTTGAGTCTGGCCCAGTGTTTGGGCTGGAAATGTGAGGTACACTGATTATCTCCAGGTTCAGGTTAATGTTCCAAGTCTTTAGGGTGGCCAGAGAACCATGCTGAGATGGTAAAGGACCAATTGCTGCTTGTCTTCTCATCAAATATTCTAACTTTGAGAATTGCAACTTGGAATTTGATTCTTGTTTAGTCACAGTTTCATGGTTATCCCTCTGGAATCCAAACCTGAATTCAAATGTCCTAATTCCATAAGTGTGGAGCTCAAAACACTGGAATTGTAGGGAGCAGTAAATTGTAAGGAACTTGGTGTTTTCTTCAGGATTCTGCACTGAGTCTAAAAACTCCTTCATTCCCTTGGGGGCTAATAATATCACAGGCTTTCCACAGCACTGGATTTTCCTGCCTGACTGATAGGAACTGGCAAGATAGTTTAAATTTACCTAGAGTGACATTAGGTGTCAGTTAGAACTGAGCTGCATTTCCACCAGGAGCTGCAAAATCGCTGCCAAGAAAAGGCAATTGCTCTGCCCCCCTTGCTCCTCCTCCTCCTCCTCCTCCTCCTCCCTGCTCCTTCTAATGGCTCTGGTGCTTCTCAGCCTTCCCTGCTCTGAGCACTTCATTTACTGGCCTAGCATGAAATATTCATGGTTTGGTTTTCTGTTTGGGGCTCTTTTTATTTTCTGTTTGGGGCTCTTTCTCTTTCCATCTGGGGCTGTTTTGTGCTGGGTGGAAGCAGCAGCAGCAGCAGCTCTGAGGGGTTGGCAGTGCCTGAGGCAGTGCAGAGAAGCGTCCGGCAGCAGAAGGGGAGTGGAGCCTCTTCCCTTCCAGCAGCATGAGCTGCTCATGTGGGTGATGCATCTGCACAACTGCATCTGGAGAAATTAGGGGTGGGTTTCTTTTCTTCCCAGTGTGTCCTGCATCTGAGGGCAGCAGGATTTCTGCTCCTGCTGTTTGTTGCTTTCAGTTCTGGGCAGTGTTGTCACATTCTTCTTAGCAATATTTGCTTGTTTTCCAATACTCCCAGGTGACACCTCACTTAATTTATTGTGTTTTAGCAATGGAAAGCCCAGTTGTGCTGCAGTTCAGTCTCTTCACTTTGGTCAGGAGCTCCAAGCTCATCCTGCAGCACTGTAATTTTGTGGTGTCTCTCTGCATAAAGTTCCTGTAGCAACAACAGGGAGAAACTTCCTGTGGGATGCAGCCTGCAGAATTTACAAACTGTAAAGAAAATAGTAAATGAAGTAGTTTCCAGTGGAAAGATTGGAAAGAGAAACAAAGCAGAGATAGTAAAGCATATACACATGGACCTATTAATGTAGCTATGTAGGAAATTCCTAGAAAGAGCAGAAATGTGGCCTGTGCACTTTGTTAGTGGCAAGCTAATAATTTGAAAATTAATACATAAACCTCCTTGAGAGTGGGAATTTTCACTCTCTAATAGTAACTCTGCAGCACTGGGGCAAAAACCTGTTAAAGTTTTAATGTTATCAGAGTTCTGGTTCAAAACAACAATGAAATATTTTGGAGAGTGAAAAGACTTGACCACAGTCCAGGTTCTATAATGGCCTGACAGTCAATGCTGCTAAAAGTGACTTCAGCAGCCCTGAATTCACCTCTGATTATACAGTGCCAGCTGCAGGCTCAGGTTGTGATCCCTCTCTGGAATCAGCTCTGCTTCCCAAGAGCCTCAATCTGTTCTCATTTGGAAATGAAGGCACTACTTAGCACTGTTAGAGCATCTCTGACTCTGTCACCTGGGGACACAGTGCTGCTTCCCTTAATTCAATTGATGGGACTTTGTGTGGATGAACAGGATTCTGCCACCTCTTCAAGTTAAAAGGTCATTTTGGCACTGAAGTGATGCTGGCTGGATTTGTTAGGTTGCAGAGAGGTGCAAATGAGGAACCAGTTCTGTTTCCCAGTATTGCTGAGCACAGGAAGTGTTCTGAGGAACAAAAGAAACTTCCAAATTAAACCAAAGTGCTCCAACTGGGCGCCTTCATGGTGCCATTGATAACAGAATTTCTGGTTTTCTTTGGAGCTTGCTTTCTAAACTTGGGCAGATACAAACACTCCTAGGACTGGACTCACCTTCATAAGCCAGCACGTGGAGCTCATGATCTGGTTTTCAGCAGGACTGGCCATGGCAGCACAAAGCACAGCTGCACAAGCACTGGCCAGGCCAGGGTGGGATGGGAATGTGTGGTGAGGGGTTATGGAAGAGCAGAACTGGATGTCCTGGGCTCTGGTCAATTTGGATTACACAGCTTTTAATCTGGTCTGAAAGGGAAATGTGAATTCTACCACAGGAGTTGTGTCTGTGGAGTGGTGTTAGGAGGGTTTTCTTAAGGTCAAAAAGGTTATAGTAAAATCTGTTATTATTTTCAATTAAAATAATAGAAGAAAATATCCCATAACTAATCTTCTACTTATATTTATGTTTCTTTGCACAGAATAGTCAATTTTCGTGTTGTTTTATTTCTATATCATAATAGTGTGTAAAAACCACCCCAGGTGTGGGGGTTGTGCCACTAATACTTCTCAACATGCTCTGCTCAGAGAGCTGTGACACCATCAAACCACCTCTTCTGCTCCTTGTTTCCAACCCGTGCTTACACTGGGTTATTGAAGTGGCCAGAATTCCCTCATTCCTTTATTTGTTAGAAGCTGCTGTTCATCATCCAGTTGAATTCAACAAAATATCCTTTATTCCTTTCCATCCTCTCCCTCAATCCCTGTGCTCCACACAGGTTATAAGGAATGCTCCAGTGAAGACGTTTGCCAGTGCAACCTTCAGCTCTCTCCTGGACGTGTTCCTGTCCACCACAGTCTTCCTCATCCTCTCCATCACGTGTTTCCTGAGGCATGGCATGGTGCCGGCCCCGCCGCCGCCCGCCGCCGTCGCCGTCTTCGTCATCGCCATCCTGCTGGAGGTGCTGTCCCTCGTCATCTCCATCAGGTAAGGACAGGGTGACAGAGCCTGCAGAGAGGCTGCACTGGTGCCTGGCTCAGGGACATTTGTGACAGCATCCCAGGAGCTGCCTGGGACGGGCTGTAAGAGCAGAGGCAGTGCAGCCAAGGCTCATGGCACAGCCTGTGCAGGGAGAGCTCTGCCTGCAGAACTGGGACTCTGTCTGACAGAGGTCACACAGGGAGATGGAATCCTCACCCCATCCCTGCCCCTCTGAGTGTTCTTGGGATGCCACGTGCCACTGTATGTCTTCTTTCCTCACAGGACTGTCAGAATTCAAACAGCAAACTTTGATCTGTCCTGCAAACAAACCCACCCAGAAAACTGCTCCTTTAAATTCCAAGATAAAAGTACAGAGTTCTGGGGTTAAAACTGACATCATGTGTCAGAGCTGCAAAGAGCAATGCTGCCCTCAAAGAAGGAAAGAAGAGAAATTGCTGAAGGCACTTTCATGGGTTAACATGGAGATAGTTCATGTTTTCTGTGTCTGGCATATAACAGGAGTCCAGTGTTTCCCCAGAAGGGAAGGGGCACTGTTCAGTCTCTGCAGAAGGGGTGACACTTGGCAAGGCTGTGCTCAGAGGTGCCAACCCCACACCTGAGCCTCAGCCCCCTCAGCCTCTCCTGTGCCCTCAGCAGATTTGGCTGCAGGTGCCAGGTTTTTAACAGCAGCTCCTCATTCCCCATTTGTGCCCGCTCACCCCAGTGCTGGGCTGCTCTGGGCTTCCAGGGCACTGCTGTGGTGACTCCTCCATGCCCAGGGTTACTCACACACTCAGAGCACTTTGCTCAGTGCAGCTCCTGCTCTCCTGGGTGTAACCTGTCATTAACCCAGGGGATCGACCTGTGAATGAGCCGATTGTTTGTCTGGACCTGTGGGAGCCGCTTCACTCTGCCCTCCTCGTCCTGGTGTTCCCTGCCCTTCCCTGACACAGCAGCAGGATAAGGGTGGTGTCTGCAAGTGGGTGTCCTCTCCTGGAGTTCTGCAGATCTGTCAGGAATGTGTCAGTCAAAATGCTTTTGTAATTATGAGCTGGAAGCAATTTCTGCTGCTGTTTCAAAAGAAACAAAAGATTGCAGTTTGCACTCTCATTTTGGCTTTGCAGGGTCGAGGTAAAAAATACTGAATTAATGCTTTAGTCACTGAAGGAATTTGTACCTCACTGGGCATATAAATGTGTGCAAGGGGATTTACATCAAAGCTGGAATGTGGAGAGGAGAGAAGCCATCTATGAAATGCTTTAAAGATAGCATTTCTTAGCAGGTGTGTTTGGTTGTTGCAATTTGTGTAGTTCTTAGAAAGTCTAGAAACTCGGAGTTAAAAGCTGTATGGGAGATGGTTGAACTGGTAGAGCTGTCATTCTAAACTGTGTTAATTATTGATGTGTCCTCTCTCTTGCATCAGAAATGCATTTTCCCCTTTGCAGAAGTGTCTGTACTTTGGTTTGGGTGGGGCAGAAGTTTAATTTCAGGCAGTTTTCAGGCAGCTCTTTCAGGTGGTCTGGGTTTGGTGGCCATGAACTTGTTCAGCTGGGAGCAGCTCAACCACTACTTTCCAGAAGTGCTGCTTTCTGCTGTCCCGGTGTATTTGGAGAAAATTTGTGTTCACTTGCTTTACAGGTGAATTCTTACTTCATTTTAGTGTTTTTCAATTTGTTGTTTTCCTCACAGGACATTGCTTTTGCCTTATTTTGTACATTTATAAAAAATTATTACTATAACCTTAGAAATATTTATAGGTAGATACATAAGGTTTTATGGCAGTCCTGCTCTGTAATTGGTGGTTTATGGGTTCCTTAAGGAGAAGGCAAATGGTTGTTTTCAGTCTGTATAGAGTTGGCAGAGTGGTTTTGTGTGTGAGTGGCTGTGCAGGGGTTTGGCTTCACTGCAGCTCTGTGCTGTCAGCCTGACCTGGGATCTCCAGACCCTTCAAATTGCCCTGGTTACCTTGGGAACCAGCAATGGCTGGATGGGGCAGGTGACCACTGCCTTTCCCTGTCCTCTCCTTCAAACCAGCAGGGATGCTTTGAATTTTTATTCTGTGTTTGCTTTACAGTGAATACCTAAAACACACTTCTGGGCCACCCCAGTCTCCATAACCTGAGGCACACACTCTCTCTACAGTTCCTTTGGGCAGGGAGGTGAAAATCATCTTTTTCCTCTTCAAATCCTCTTCCAAGTGAGAACTGCTCCCTCTGACCACTCATTATGCACAGAAACAGTGCAGAACTTCCTGTGCAGAAATGTCATCCCAAATGACAATCACAGAATACCACTGAGATATCTTTGGGGAGGAGACTGGACTACAATGCTGGGCACAATCCCAGAATTTCAGGAAAAGGGATTATTTTAAGACCAGAAAATTCTTGCCTAAGTTTCACATTGTATTTTCATTATCATGATGCTAAACACCCTGCCTTTAAATCAGCTAAATTGTAATTAAATCCAGGGCTCAGCCTAGCAAGGGCTCCCCTGGCTCAGCCCAGCTGTGAGAGGGGAGGGGAGAGCCCAGCACTGTCACAGCCTGGGCAGTGAGAAAGGCCTTAAAACTTGAGTTCTGCAGCAGCAGCAGAAGTCCTCATGGAGCAAAGCTCATGAGGGAGAAGGATGTTTTGATTCCTCTGAAGTGTCTGATAATAAATTATTGGAGTACCTATAGATGAGCATCCCACTGTTAGCACAAGAGCCACTCGAAAATTAATTGTATAAAGCTGCAAGCAAAAATTGGTGCTTCATTTGTGAGCACGTGGAAGATGTCATCTCCTCTGTGAATGTTCTCTGGAGAATGTCCTTCTGCCCACTTGAAATGTAGCTACTTTGAGGAGCTCAGCTGAAGTGTCAGAGATGCTAAAGTTCTGGTATTTAAAAACAACCCGTTGTCATTTAATGTACAACGATGTGTGAGATTCCACTTGGGAGTCTGAGGAGTGGCTCTGCAGGAATAGGGGTTAGAGATTCTGCCCAGCAGCTGCCCAATATTTAGTGTAAACATAGAAGTTTTGTTCACTAGGTAATTTTTATATGTTGCCCTCGAATAAAACTGCTTATTTATAAGTTTATTTACAAGAAATGTGTTGCTTTTGATAGTGTGCTTCAGGGAAGGGTTGAGGGCAGAAGAGTGGGTGTTTAGCCCTGTTCAAGAAAGTGAGAGGTGGGAGCACTTTCAGTTGATTCATGAATTTAAAAGGACCTTTCTAGACAGCAGAAAAGAATCCTGTGGATGAAGAAAGCAAGTGCAGTCCAGCAGCAGAAGGGAAGCTGTGCTGTTACCTGACCAAAGAGCTGCCCTTTTCCTGGTGCTTTGCCTTCCCAGCCTTGCTGAGGTGCCACCCCTGTCTCTCCACAGCCAGGACCTGTGGCCAGCATTGGATCTTCCTAAATTCCTCATGGCCAGGAGCAGAAATTGCTTTCTGCCCCTCGAGCCTAATGAAGCAGATCTGTTAACACAACTGATACAGAGTATTGATGCTGAGGAAAACAATGTAGTCTGTTTGCCTTTATTTATTTCTAACATCTGGTATTTAATATCCCACCAAATTGCTGCTATGCCAAAAGCTTTTGATTTGAACTCTGGGAATTGATTTTAAACTGCCAGTAAATACAAAAATGATGGTAACAGTCTCCATTAGCCATTAATCATTTATGTCAAAGTTACTAATTTGAACTCCAGCTTGTGTAAACAGCTCAGATGCTTTAGCATTTAAGCCCTGTTGAGCTGCCCACTGACACTGCATTATTTACTGATACTGCCCTGTAGCCATTAAATCTGTCTGCAGCTCTCACTGCTGTCTGGATTTAATGCACCCCTGACTTCCTGTGCTGGGAGCATTGGGCTGGATTCACTGCTAAGGAGGAGAATTCCATCGTGTGATTCCAGAGTGCAGAGCCCCAGGCTAAATCCCATCCCGTAAAAATCAGTGCAAGAAGGTAAAGATCAGCAGGAGAAAGGTGGCATTGCCCTGCAATTTGCACCTGCCTGAAAAAAGCAGTGTCCTCCTGGCAGGATTAACCCCTCAGCTTCCCCCCTGGGGTTGTTGCTATGGTTCCCACAGGAATTTCTCCTGGCACGGAGGTTTGGCAGCAGAGGAGATGCAAAGCGTGGAGTCCCTGCTGCGTGGGTTGGGGTGAGAGACACGAGCTGGGCGTGTGCCACAGGGGCTGTGCCAGCAGCTGGGAGCGTGGGCACAGGTGGCACTGCTGCCTTCCTTCACAGGGAGCCCTGGGCTGCCATCCCTTCACCTTCCCGGCCTCAGCCCTGGCAATGCCAATCCCAGCCCATCGCTGCTGGACAATGGGGCTTGGTTTCAGAGGGGAAGTTGGGGGGTGATTTCAGACCTGGGCCAGGGGCTGCCCCTGGGCACAGGGACAGTTCTGACACTCTGTAACCCTTCAGAAACCCCAGGTCTTACTCTAGAGAGCCTTTTAAAAAATCTTTTCTATCCAGGTTTGAAATTTCTGTGCTTTGCTGGAAATTCTGTTTTCAGATGGAATACAGTTAGAATTTTTGGTGTGAGTGAAGTCCATTAAACTGGTAAATCTGTGAGCACCCTCTCGTGGGCTCCCAATGAATTACAGTGTATTTCCTCCTCCCAAATTCCTCTTTTCCCATGAATTTAACTATAATTTTCAGATTTCAACACATGCAATTAGAGAAGAGTTCTTTATGCTTCACAAAATACTTGTGATTGCAAGTCACAGAATTCCAGACTGGAGAATTAAATTCTCATTCACAAACAATTTATATTTAAAGGTGTGGAATGAGTGTCAAACTGGCATATAGAAATTTAAATTCAGCTTGGTTTGTGTCAGGCTTTTATCCCATATAAAACCTTGTATTTCAGACAACAGGGTTAAAAATGAGTAGATATAGTTTCTCTTTTTGGAGATATAGGTGATATGGGGTAATTTATGTGACTTTGGAGACTGGGAATTTTGTATTTAGTGGTTGTTTTTTGGGTGTTTTTTTCAGCTGTGAGCATGTCTGTCCAAACAAAAGGTGTGATTCTGTATTGTTTGGGCTCTGTAGTCCAGAATCACCTGCTCAGCCTGAGTCTGATAACTCCACACATGCCATTAATGGCTCTGGATGCAGCTAACTGTGCTCCACCACCTTTCTACAGCTTCTTAAAAATAATTAGGCACTTGAACAGCAGTTGCAGTTTTTCTCAAGTGACTAATGTTGAGCTTTGAGAATGAAGTTATCCCGAAGATTTATTTCTGTGGATAAATACTCATTTTCTATGCAATGCCCTTGAGCATTGAGCATCCTTTTCCCTTCCCTTATTCATTGTAGCAATTAGAGCTGCTCTCATTTGAGAAGCATCTCCGGTAAGCTGCTCTCCAGAGCTTTTCCACTTGGCTCCTTCAGCTGTGCCCAGGTTGGGGCCGTGGTTTTCTCGGCAGCTCCAGGCGAGAGCGGCTTCTCCCCGCGGGGCTGCCGGGAGCAGCGGGGCGGTGCCAGCCGGGCTCGGCTCCTGCCAGCCCGCAGCCCACGCTCCCCTTCCCCTTCCCTAATGGCAGGGAGCTGCCTGCAGACCGGCTGCTTGCAACTGGGAGAACTGGTTTGGGTTGCACTGTGATGGGTGCTGGAGCTGCTCTGCTCCTCAAACGTTCCTGCTGTTATTTTCAGTAGCTTTAACTTGGGAAAGTTTCCCCTCTCCCTGCCTGCTTTATTTATGAATGGAGAGGAGTCTTCCCTCTGCTTAAGCTTCCAAGGAAGTGAAGTTTGGCTTTCAGTTTGCTTCCTCAAAGCCACCATGCCAAGGCTCTCCCTCCCTCCTCACCGGAGCAAACACTCGGGCGGCCAGGCTGGATTATTCCCTGAAATCACCAGCAGGTGCTGTGGCTTGGCTGCTCACAGAACCTCAGTGGTGGATTTGAAGGTGTGTTCCTACAGGTAAATGAGGGGTACAGGGAGATGTGCTGCCATTAATGCCTGGATCCCTGCTTTCCTGTGTTCCAGGATGGCTTTCTTCCTGGAGGAGGTGATGACTTGCACCAAGCGTCTCCTGGAGGTGATATCTGGCTGGCTGCCTCGACACTTCTTCGGTGCAATCCTGGTTTCTCTCCCAGCTCTTGCAGTTTTTTCACACTTCACCTCTGATTTTGAAACAAATATACATGTAAGTTGTTGAACTCCATTCCCTAAAGTGAGTGTTTGCAGCTACCCAGGCTTGTTGCTTTCCTGCCTTCCTGCTTTACATCTGTTTGATAGAGATCCCTTGGAGGGATGGGGCTTTGTGGATGATGGAATTCCTTGTCTGTTATGTAAACACAGCCATGGTGAAAACTCTCTGACAAAAGGGGAGAGGATACATAGAAATTCCTGCTGCCTGCATAACTTTCTCTCTTAGACCAAGCACTTCTGCAGGAATATTTTTGAGATAATGCAAGTGGTTTATCTCAGAATTATTGTCCTGGGCTAGATTTGGAGTTTGGAGTCAGAGAAGCTGTATCAGTGAACCTCAACAATGGGAACAGGATTAGTGGGGGGTGTTTTGGCTTTGCAGAGTGAGATGAAGGAACTCAAAGGAGAGAGCACTTGGTACCCAGGAATGGCCATTGCAGGGGCTGTGGAATGGCTAAAGGAATGCAATAACTGCCTTCTGAAAAGGAATGGAAAGAAATGGGCATGTTTAACCCAGACACAGAGATCCATAGAGAATTTGGTGCCTCTGTTATTAAAAGCACTCAGAAGGAGAGAACAAGGGGTTAAACATTCATAAAATCACAGAGTGGTTTGGGTTGGAAGGCAGCTCTTGTTCCAGCCATGGGCAGCAGTGAGGAGGGGGGAGAACAGTTTAATTTAAAAGCCAACTGTAGCATAAAATCAAGGCTTAAAACCTGTGAACAAAATGGCCTCAAGCTGGAGATGAAAGATTGTTGCTCTGCAGGTTTCTCTTAGGCAGCACAGTGTGCAATCCTTCCTTTGCAGGATCTTCAGGGAATTCTATTTCACAAAGCTTTGCTATTTCAGGGCCCTGGGTGTAGGTAATGACCAGATCCTCTTCACTCTTCCTATCACAGCTTATTCCTGGGTTCTGGGGGCTGTTTGTTCCATGGGAACATGTGACCACACATTTTCTGGTCCTTGCTGATTTAAACACACATCCCGTGGTTGTCACAGTCACAGCAGGGTGTGGTTGACATTCTGTTCCATCCCATGCTTAAGATCATTCTGCAGCTTCTACCTTTTGGAGCTTTAGGGAAGAAATTTTAAGCTGTAAATTGATTTATTTGTTCATTCAGTCTAATGATGGTCTTTCCCCTCCATGATTATCAGTAAACTAACCATAGGAATGTTTTCCTCAAGGGAAGGGAGCTGAAAACCTCCAAATCTCTCAAATCTGTCCATTGGTTTTGATACCATCCCATTCCTCACCATCCTTGATCATCTCTCCAGATGTTTCAGATAATATCAGAACCACTTTATGAGTGTGTTCTCAGTACAGGTCAGGTTGAGTCAAACCACTTCAGGCAGCAGCAGTAAAATGGTGATTTTCATCACCAAACTGAGAATGAGCTTTGCTTTCTTTCCTCTTGCAGGTGCTCCAGAGTCCTGGGGCTGTTGGCTCACTCTCCAAGAGATGTCCCAGCTCAGCTTGTGCTCAGTGTTCCCACACTGATGGAGCTCTAGGAAATGGAGTCAATCTATAGAGGGTCAGGTAAGTCTCCACCTTTACTATGACATGGTTTTGCAAAGTTTTTTTTTATTCATAGCATTTTATACCTTCCCTGGATTTAAAATAATTATAAAGTGAAAATTAACAAAAACAGCCATGAAAAAAAAAAAAAAAAACTTTCCAAAGCCATGCATCCATAGTAAAATCCAGCACATCCTGACCCTCTATAGGCTGGCTTCACGCTGGGGCATCACTTGGAGTGAGAACCAGTGCCCTGCCACTTTAGGAGACCTGAAATGGGGGGAAAAAAGTAAGTTTAAATTATGGGGTTCTGAAATTCCTTTTATCCTTTTCTAAGTCATTTTAAAAGCCAACAATTGTTGTTTGTGGTTTAAAAATGGTGAATGATGTGAAGATTTTTCCCATGCTCTGTGTCTGCTCTCAATCACATGCTTGTTTGTTATGCCACAGGACTGCCAGGCTGCAGAGGCTGCACTTCAGCTGCACAGGACACCTTAAGGGAGAGGGAGAGAATGATCACTTCATGCTGTAAAACACAGCATAAAGCTAGACCAGAACTCCTTAGTCCAAATGTGGAGTCTCTAGTTTAGCTTGGATGGTCATGAATATTCTTGGGAAACCAAAATTGGCACATCATTGGCACACTTGGGAGTTTTGAGCACTGTAAGGTTGTACCTGGGGAAATGAAGGAGCTCTGGGCAATGCATCTGCATTTTCTTTCCTTTATCCAGTCAAGCTGTGGACAGGTAAAGGGGTTTTGAGATGAGGCATTTGGAACAGAAAATGGGAGCTTGTCCTTTGGCAGTGAGTGAAGCTGCCTTTTGTCACTGAGGCAGATCCTTCCTTCCTGGACTCAGCTGGTACAGGGCACTGGGGGAACTTCTCTGAGAATGTTTCTAGAAGCAGGCAGTGGGTGAAATTGCACTCTGCATTTCCAATGCAATGAATTTCAGTATTCAGTTCAAAGCAGGCAGGATCTAACCCCAGCAGTGGAGAGGAGGTTACCATGAATTTTCACCTTCTTTTTTTCCCTTTTTGTGAATGAGAAGAAGCACTGAGCTTTGACCAAGGTAAGCTGGAGGCTCTGGAAATCATTGAAATAATGGGTGTGTGATAAAACCTTCATCCAGGGAAAACAGTGACAAAGCACCAGTGCTGAAGGTTTTCTTGCTGCTGGAAGGGAAGATCTCCATCTCCACGTGGGATCACTCCCTGTGCCCATCATCCAGCAGGAATTCTCCATGGTGCCTGTGTGGCAGGGCCCTGGGCAGCTGTTAACCCCCTCTCTCTCTCTGTTGCAGTACACCATGTTCATGTGTTGTGCCATTCTCATCACCATTGTGCAGTACTGTAACTTCTGCCAGCTCAGCTCCTGGATGAGATCCCTGCTGGCAACGGTGGTGGGAGCAGTGCTGCTCATCCTGCTCTACGTCTCCTTGTGCCCCTCCAGGTGAGCCTCACTCGTGGCTGCAGGGAGCTCAGCTGGGCTCCTCCCAGGGAAACAAGGGGCTGGTGCACAGGATTTTCTGTCTGCCAGGACTTTCTCCAGCATTTCAACTTTCATGATTTTATTTCTTTGTTGTTTATTTATTTTTGAAGGATTTCAGGGGTGCCTCTTCTGTGTGACTCTCTGTGCTTCCTGATGTGTTTCTAGGACAAAGTTACAGACCCACAGAATTGCCTTTCACCATTAGTTTGAAAATCTGTTTTATTAAGGAATTTCCCAGGTATCTGGTGGTGCCAGAGAGCCCAACTGCTCCCCAACACCCCTCTGGATTTATTTTTGCCCTTAGGATCCACATATTCTTCTTCCACCTCCTTCCTCAATGCATTTTCCAGTGTGAAAGGCAGGTCCTTAGGTTTAATGGGATCTAATAGCCAGTTCCATTCTCAGTTTCCTGCCTTTTCAGAGGACTCTGCAGAACTGTAACCAGAGGAATCAAGATAATGCAGTTTCTGTGCAATAACCTTAAATTTTTCCAGTTTTCCTCTCATAAATGATTTTCTACAAGGAGAACTTGTTTGCAGTATTCTTCTCCTGTTTTCTTGCCAAGAGAGTCAAGGGGGTCCTTCCAGCCTTCTACTCCTATTGGCAAAATTTTATAATCAACCTGCACTTCTCAGTGGCTTAAGACCCCCCCTTGGGATGGACTTAGCAAGGTCTTCTCCTCAATCAGTCAGTTCCTCTCCTTCAGAGACCTGCTGAATCAAAAGGTGAAAAACATGAAAAAAAACCCAAACAAACCAAAAAGAGTTTGCAGATATATATTTTAGTGAGTATTTAGCTTAATTGCCTCTTTTAAGTGTCTTCACTGGTCTCTTTTAATCTTGATCAAATTTATATTTTAAAAAAGAGAGAATAAAAGTCATCTCTTACACCTGTTCACATCTGTGATTTGAGATGTCTGTAAGGGTTAAAGGGAGAAAGTCCTGGGACCAAAATATCCTGGAGCTGGAGTCAGTTGACAAATGATTCCTAAATCATACTGACTACAGAAAAATCCCTTTCTTGTCTGTCTGCAGAGGACTTGGGCAGGGAGGGCAGTGGGCATCTCTCCAGCTGCAGTGCAGGAGGGGAGTGCTTGGTTCTGCAGCCTCCCTGGTCTCCTCATGGGTTTGTCCCATTGGGCTCAGGATCCCCCATCTGTCCCCAGCCCTGAGTGACCTCTCCCAGTCACAAAGATCTCTCCCTGTGCTTTTTCCCTTTGTGGCACTGGCTCAGATTCACTGAGAGCCCTGGAATCACAGAACCCTTGAGTTTGGAAAAGCCCTCTGAGACTGCCAAGTCCAGTGTTCCCCAGCACTGCCAAGGCCACACTGCCCCATGTCCCCAAGTGCCACATCCACAGGGCTGTTAAATCCCCCAGGGATGGGGATTCCAGCACTGCAGCTGTGCCAGGGCTTTTGCTTAAGGCTTTTTTTGCCCTGATACCCATCCAAACCTCCCCTGGCACAACCTGAGGCTGTTTCCTCTTGAGGTGTCTCTTGTTCCTGGGGAGCAGAGCCCAACCCCCCTGGCTCCAAACTCAACCCAGGTTTGGTTTTCCAGGGGAATTAGTGGAGAGCAGACCCTCAATGCCATTTCTTGGTTCCCTGCTTGCTCTTCCCTGATTCCCCCAGCAGGAGTTCCTGGAGCTCCTGGGGGCTCCTGGCACAGCCTGGTAAAGGGGCCATGGGCACTCTCCTGGACAAGCTCTGAGCTGAGACTTTGTGCAGAGAGAAAGACCCAGAACTGGGGATTTTCCCTGCATTTCAGCTTTATTAAGGGATATATATGGGAATGGCTCTTCCAAAGGTGGGAGGTGGAGACCTTGCTGCTGTGTCAGGTCACAGCATCAGCTCTTGCTGAGTGCTAAAGGGGCTCTGTGAATGGTAAGAAGCCCCATTCTCTTAATAATTCTCTAATTTCCACCTGTGGTACGAACAGCAGTGACCATTAATGGGCAAGGTTCAGAAATTATGGAATATGTTGTTATTTCATCCCTCAAAAATAAATATTTCAAGTAATAGAGCTGTTCAGCTGCAGGTCTGAAAAGGTGGTTGATAGAATTAATCCTGAACAAAAGTCACACAGGTTTAGTCAGTGAAGCCCATTACTTCAGTTTGTTAATAATAATCTTTTTGTTTGCCTCTTACCATGATTCTGATAATATTTTTCATCATGGTGGCAGTTGCAGCCCTGTCTGCACCACAGCCTGATCCATTCTGCACTTGGACTTCCTTTTCCAGTTGTAACTAATCCTGAGAGTTTGATACTCTCTTGCTACTTGATTGCAATATAGAAATTGTAATTCAAATAAATAAGCAAAATTTGAATTACTTATTTTCTCTAATGGAATCTTAAAAAATAGGTTCTGTGTTAGGGTTTTGGGGATTTGGGAGGTGTTTTGGTTTTGGATGGTTTGGTTGGTTGGTTTGTTTGTTTTGTTGTTTTTGGTTTGGGGTTTTTTTGTTTTGGTTTTTGTTGGAGATGTTGGGGTTTGTCTCTTTGTGTATTATTTTTAAAATATTTGTGCTGTATTCTCACATAAGATGAAGGCATAATGGAGTTTTAGAGTTCTGGGATTGCTTTTCCCTATTTCCAGGTAAGATGGGATTGTTTAACAATTACTTGTTCCAGGCATGACCAAGTTCCAGTTTCCCTTTCCAGGGATTTGCAGTTCTGGCTGGTTCCCTCTCCCAGGCAGATAAGTCATGTTCAGACAAAGTTTGTGTGCAGTTATCAGCTCTGCAGTGCAGTTCCTGGTCTGTGCAATAGGGAATCTGAAAATTCTGTCTGGAATGCTGCAGGATGTTTGTTTATTGCTTTAACTTTCCCTCTGAATCAGTGCTTTTCTCATTTCAGCTCCATGGAAGCTCCTCATCTAGATTTGGCACAGAACTTTAGGTAAGCTTTTTATAAAATTGCCATCTTTATATTTAGGGATAGAAACATTTTCAGTGAATTACATGGAGCAAAACTTTGCATCCACAGTAATAACTTGGGAATTCAACAAATTGGTTCAGCAAGTTGTGTTTAAGCTTCTCCTGTAATTTCCTTTACAGATTACTTGGGTATGACCAAAACTCATCAGGGCTGGTGCTGCAGTCACAGAGTTGTGTAATGATATTTTCTCCTTAAATTGGATTTCTAGGAAATAGAACTGTGGAGGAACTATTTAAAACAGCATCTGTTTTTCCAGTAGCAGCAGTTTTTAGAGCATTATGTGTCCACCACGAGCTGTTTCTTTGATTTCCTTGGCTGATTTGCACCTTTCAGAAGCAGTGGGAGCTGGATGCTCTCACAGCTGGGCAGGTGAGAATTCCCTGGGGTAGAGCAGCTTCCTGTGGAACAGCTGGATGTGCTTTCCTGTGGAACAGCTGGATGTGCTTTCCTGTGGAACAGCTGGATGTGCAGCCAGCTGCCTCCCCAGGCTGGGATGGGACAGTCTGGGCCTGGCTGTCCCCTTCCCTGGGCAGGGCAGGGGGGCAGAAAACTGAGAGCAAAGGAAATTCAACCTGGAGCCTTTCAAAGCAAACAAAAATCCCTTCCTGGGTAATTAATGGCCCCTTGAAAGAAATGTGTTACAGATTCACTCTGGTGATTTCAGTGTTGAGTTTCTCATGGGTTTATTGCAAGTTTTTGCAGTACTGTTTAAGTGTTTTTACTGGCCTTTGGTATTAGCCAAGTCTGGGTTTGCTCATTGCAAATCTGGGGGCAATTTTGGGCCATGCTGGGTTTGACTGAACTGTGGATCTGTGACTTTGGTAAAAGGGATTTTCAGGAGAATGTTGCTTGTCCTGGGAGGATGTGTAAAAACAAAATTCCTTTCTAACAACTCTCATCTCCACAAATGCTGTGGTACTCTAGAAAACACATGAGGTTTAGTACAGAGGGATGAGAGCAGTGTTTCTTTGGGTATTTCTTCACCAAGGACTCAGTTCTTACTGCAGTGTTGGGGTTTGGGGGGCTCTGGCTTTTCTTACATGGATTTTCCCTTTTCCTAGTTTTGATTAATGAAAGTTCTTTTTTGTAAGAGAATTCCAGTTCATTGAACCCAGAATGGAAATTTAAAGCCAAAAGAATAGAGGGGGCTTTTGGGTTTTGGGTTTTTTGGTTTTTCTTTTGGCAAACATCAGTGTGCTGATCACTCCAGTAGTGTCTCAGGATCAGCCTTAGTTTGGATCCTTGTTTTTTGTTTGTGAAGCTTTTGTGCTCCTCAGAATTCCAAAGCTCTTCCCCAGCAGGCTCCTGGCCAGCTGCTGATCACTGATCAATGATGGATCCTGCCTTAAACCTTGGACAGCTGGGAGTTCCCCTCAGTGACAGAAATCTCTGCAAACATCACCTGCCAAGCCTTGTTTTCCTGCAGATATTTTTCTTCCATAAATATGTGACTTCTGACTGATGGCAGGGGAAGGTGAGAGCTGCTGAGGAGCAGAGCATGGAGGTGTCTCTGGTGAGCAGCTGTGGAGTGAGGCTTTCCCTCCTTTGCAAGGCCTGGCTTGTGACCTAAAGGCCAAGTAAGGCAGTGAGCAGAAAATGTCACCTGTTAAACATTCCTAAACTTCATTTTCCACTTTTTATTAGCATGTTATCTGTGCTCCTTCAGCTGAGGAAGAGACCCTTGTGTTAATTCTGCTCAGCACTGCCCTTCAGTCCAGCTCTCCTGGCCTGACCCTGCCCAAACCTGGACATTAACAAACATTGGAAGTTAAAAGAGAGAACTGGGAGTTAATCCTATTCTGTTTCTGCCATTAAACAGAATTTGGCTTCTTTCTTCAGGGCTCTTATGCTGTATATTATTGAATACCACATTTCTAGAGTACAGAATTTCCCCTTTTTTCTGGTAATGGACTAACAAAAGGTGAAACTCTCTTAGCCTAACAAAATTTTTTGCTGCACCTTTCTGCCAGAATTGCATCAATCAGGTTCCTTGCCTACCCCACTCAGCACTAAAGCTTTCCCATGTTCTAAGAGGGCTAGACAAGGTTGTGTGTTGTCTGTAATGAGGTTATTCCTTTCCTTGATCAAGAATAGAGATAATATTAATGTTGCCTGGGAAGAGAGACAGTAGTGATGGTAATGAAGCCTTAGCACAGAGTTCACCTCTGGACTGTCTGTAAATAAAAATGTGGAGTTTCCCTTGTTTTCCAGGCAGCCCAGTTCTTCAGCCCAAAGGATACAAGCATGAGCTTTGTCTTTGAAGCAGGAAATATTTCTCCTTTTCATTCCTTCCTCACCTCAGAGCAGCTGGGAGGTGCCACTTGCCAGTGTGGCTGCTCAAGGGGAGCAGCAATTGGCCCCTGAGGGGAGAAGGGTTTGTAGGCACCCACTGCAGGCTTTTCATGGACAGCAGCAGTTTGATCCCCTTTTCCACACCTTTCCTCCCTTGCATTCTTCTCAGATTTAGCAGGCAGAGGCATCCTCTTTCAATATAGCAAGATATCCAAATCCAAACAGGGGTTACTGGCTCAGAAGCAAACTGGCTTTCCAGAAAGTTCTGTAAGTGGAAAGCCATTATCTTGATGATTTGTGATCAAGCCAATGGAGATTCTATCTCTGGAGTCTCACTTGTTCCATGTTCACAGCCTGGATGGAGGTGCCAAGTTAATAGTGAGGGGGCTGTGCCAGGCAGCATTTCACCAGTTTGAGTTAAAGAAACATTGTCAGCTCAAGATCTCAATTGGAATGATTTTTAAAGTCAGTTTTCTGCTGCAGCACCTCATAAAAAGGAGAATTGAGAAAGATTGGGTAGGGGGTTGATTTTTTCTCTTGGAGCTGTTGGGAGAGTTTTTCTTCTTTTCATCCCAGAGGGTGGCTCCAGGTCATGGCTGCTGCCTGGGAGAGGTGACTGAGGTGTTTTCCAGCCCTGCAGCTCCTGTACCCTGGTCACTGCAACATCTCAGGGTGGAATTCCAGATGAGGCTGATGCAGTTGCTCTCTCCTTCAGGCTGGAATCAGAGCTTTCCATGCTGATGCACGATGGGATCAAATGTCCTGCTCTGGAGAAGGGATCCCACCCCGTTCCCCATTCCTGGGAGGAGCTCAGGGCACAGTGAGTCCCTCCCTGCCCATGCACATCTCAGGGATGGAGCCCACAAGGTCAGGCTGTGCTGAGCAGCTCAGGGGCAGCTCCAGGAATGGGGAGGGGGAGGCAGCAGCTCCTTCCCTGGAGGCAGATCCTGCCTTCCACTGCTCCTCACAGAACATTTGGGTGCTCACCTCATTCACTGCAGAGGAGTTAAAGTGCTTTGGGAGTGTTTTGTACAGCAAACTGTAAATAAAAAGCCCTTAATGGCTTAAATAAATCCCTGTGGCAGGAATGTCTGATGTTCGAGGGGATTATCTGGATCAAACTCTCAGAGCAGTAACAGAGTCAGTAACAGATCTCTGCCCACAAGATGTGTGAAATAATAAACTCAGATTCAGAGAAGAACCTGAATTGTGCTCCTTAATCCAGATTCCTTCCTCACTTTCCCCCACCTCTTCTTATTTTCCAAGATATTTTCTCTTACCCACATCATTTTATTAGCCCATCAAGCCAGGAGGGCATTTTGTCACCTCCAAAATAGGGGGATTAGCAGGGATTGTATTTCAGGAATTGTTCCCTTCTGGTCATTAATTATGGAGTCATTTAGGCTGGAAAAGACCTCCAAGATCAGGAATCACAGAATAAAAGGGACCAACAAGGATCATTGAGTTCAACCATTAACCCAGCCAAGGCCACCACTAAACCTTGGCTTTGGCTTTGTCTTTGTCTCTGACTTGTCTTTCAGGGCAGGAAATAAACAGGTTCATAGCAGAGGTTCTGTTGAGAATCAGGGAGGGAGGAGTGTCTTGGTACAGCAATTACAGGAACCCCATGGTGGGGCTCTGTTTGAGTTGGGACATCTCCTCCTTTCATGATCCCCTTGTGAGGAGGGAATAAATGAATACACCTTCACTTCTCCTGGGAGAAGTGTATTTATGGTAGAAAACAAAAGAAGTCATTTTCAATGTAATCTGTCCTATCTTTCATCTGAAATTCAATCTGCACTCTCTGTATTGTAAATATTTCACTCACCAGAAACTTTTTGCCCATAGGATTTCTGTAGAAAAGGGAACAGATACAAGGACTATGGCACAGAGAAATGTTCTTGGATGTGGGGCACGTTCATCTGTCTCACAGCTGTGCTGTGGTTTTGTTTCATCACACTTTGCTGTCAATCAAGTATTTGAGAATGAAACTCAGGAAAAAAACTGTGTCTGTAATGAAGTTCAGTTCTGAAATATATCCAAAGTGGAAGCCTGTCCCCCATGGACATGAAGCAACAAAATTAACTCAGGAATGTTTTCATATGTTACAGTAACAAATTCAGCCTTCTCTTCTTGAGCTGTTGCTCCAGTTGTGCTGAGTTTTAATCCCTTCCTGCCTTCCCAGAGAAATGCAGGCAGGTGCTGAGTATGGATTCCTGTCTGGCTCTCCAGGAGCAAGGTTAATGTGATGCTTTCCCTTTTCAAACCTTCTCTTAACTCAAAAAACTTCAGCGCGTGTCTGCTCATATCAGATCTCGAGTTTGGCACAATTTTATCCCAAAATGCAGTTGGATCCCTGCAGAAATGACTGCATGCCAAGCTGTCTGTGCTCAGCCTGTGCTTCTGGGAGTGCATAGGTGGGGCCTGCTCAGATTCAGTTTGTGCCTTTGCATCTCAGCAGAAAGTTGAGATTGGAGAGTGCAGATGTCTCCTGGTTCAGGGTGGTTTGGCACTGGCAGCTGCTCCATCAGCGCCTCATAATCTGCACAGGCAGGCAGTGAACTGTCGGGAGGATCTGAAATATTGCTCCCAATCTATGGCAGACTGGAATTCCTGATTATTTTATGTAATCTTGGCACTTGGAGAAACTTTCTGTCTCTGCCATGAAAAGCTGAAGTGGTTTTATCATAGAAAAGATGTCAGCACAGCCATGTTCCCCACTTCCATGCAGTTCATAGAACCCCAGACTGGGCTGGCTCAGAAGGACCTTAAAGCTCATGAAGTTCCAACCTCCTGCCATGGGGTTCTCCACAATGTGTCTTTTGCAGGGTCATCTTCTCCCAAACCCTTCTTGTGTAGCATTAAAGGCACTTGGCAAAGGTTCCTGGTCCTTGGTGAGGACACAAGGGAAAGGCACAGGAGTGTAAAGCAGCTGGTTCTGAATATTGGAGGTAATAAAAAATACAAAACCAGATAAATTCCACAAAACTCACAGACACCCCTACATACAGACATTTAGTGCACTCAGGTACCTAAACACACACACAGGTACAAATTTACATACAGTGCTTTTAGATATTTAGATATCTAAATATATATATTAGATATAATAATAACTGATATCTATTTAGATATAATAATAACTGTTTCCTTGGTGAAGACCTTAAAACAGGATTGGCCTGTGCCACTGAACATAATGATAAAGAAATACTTGGTGGTTTTATGGAAGTACTTGATGAGTTTTAATAATTAAATTAATTCTTTGTCATTTCCTTAACAGCAGCTGAAGTTTTCAATGGATATTTTATAATTCAGTATGTGACTGTACTTCCCACACTTCCTTTTCCAGCATTCCTAACTGTGGGGCAGGGATGGCCATGCCCTAAGTTAAACTGCCCCTGTGTGTTCTCGCCCCGTGCAGCTCCAGAAAGAGCCCGTGCAACGGCTCGGTGCCGAGCGACGCGCGGCGGCCGGCGGAGCTGATCGGCCAGGAGGTGGTTCTGGTGTCCTTCCTGCTGCTGCTGCTCGTCTGGTTCCTGAACCGCGAGTTCGAGGTCAGTTACCGGCTGCACTACCACGGGGACGTGGAGGCCGACCTGCACCGCACCAAGATCCAGAGCATGAGGGATCAGGCAGACTGGCTGCTGAGGAACATCATCCCCTACCACGTGGCCGAGCAGCTGAAGGTGTCCCAGAGCTATTCCAAAAACCACGACAGCGGCGGGGTGATCTTTGCCAGCATCGTCAACTTCAGCGAGTTCTACGAGGAGAACTACGAGGGTGGCAAGGAGTGCTACCGGGTCCTGAACGAGCTCATCGGGGACTTCGACGAGCTGCTGAGCCAACCCCACTACAGCAGCATCGAGAAGATCAAAACCATCGGGGCCACCTACATGGCGGCCTCGGGGCTGAACACCTCGCAGTGCCAGGACAGCAGCCATCCCCACGGGCACCTGCAGACCCTTTTTGAATTTGCCAAAGAAATGATGAGGGTGGTGGATGACTTCAACAACAACATGCTGTGGTTTAACTTCAAACTGCGCATCGGCTTCAACCACGGCCCCCTCACAGCCGGGGTCATCGGCACCACCAAGCTGCTCTATGACATCTGGGGGGACACTGTGAACATCGCCAGCAGGATGGACACCACCGGCGTCGAGTGCCGCATCCAGGTGAGTGAGGAGAGCTACCGCATCCTCAGCAAGATGGGCTATGACTTTGACTACAGGGGGACGGTCAATGTGAAGGGCAAGGGGCAGATGAAGACCTACCTTTACCCCAAGTGCATGGACAACGGCATCGTGCCCCACCACCAGTTGTCCATATCTCCAGACATTCGGGTTCAAGTGGATGGCAGCATTGGGCGGTCTCCGACGGATGAGATTGCCAACCTGGTGCCTTCTGTACAGAACTCTGATAAGATAGCCCATGGCACAGATAGCTCAGAAGCCAAGGACATCCTTCCTTCCGCCAAGAAGCTCCAGAAAGACGCGGCCAAGGCCGAGGAGAGGTGCAGGTTTGGCAAAGCCGTGGAAAAGGATGACTGTGAGGAGACGGGGACTGAGGAGGTCAATGAACTGACAAAGCTAAATATCTCTAAGAGTGTATGATGAACTGTCAGAGTTGCATGAAGTGCTCTGGCCATAGAAACACACAGACTTTTGCAATTGGCAGTTTTCTTTTCCAAGAGAGACCTTCTTCACACCTGGGTTGTACGTTTGTGTTCATTTCGGCACCTGGGGCTGTGTGGATCATGGCTCTTCAGGGCTTGTTTTCATCCATCTCTCTCCTCCATGCCCCAAACCACATCCCAAGCTCCCCAGCTCCCTGTGCAACCATCTTACAGCTGAGTAGAGGATATTAAGTGCCTTCAGATATACTCCATTGGACTCCCTGTCAAGGTACAGAGGCCCCAAGTGAAATCATAGCTTTGGGTATTTATCTAATTTTAAAGAAAAGAAAAGCTGTGGTTATATCATTTTTATTGTCGTTTCTCACAAAACACTTTTTTTGGCTAATGCAACTCCTTGGGTTTTTTATATCTCTCAGAACAATGTTTTACTGTTATCAGACCTTTTGTATGTAACACACAGACATGTGCATGTATCTACCATATGAGACTGCTATAAAGTGCCAGTAATGCACCACAAGAATGTCTGGGCGAGGGGTGGCACCCTTTGGGCCGGGCTGGAGGGGAGTTGTGCCGTGGCTCAGCCTTTAGTTAGGGCAGGAGGAGCAGCTGCTGCCCTTCTGTTCTCCTTTCCCGATGCTTCTGCAGCCTCCATGTGCCATCGTGTGCTTTGGATACACTTCTTTTCCATATAGCCAATGAGTTACTGATCCTGGGAATGCAAGGAGGGTTGGGACAGTGCCAGCTCTGGGGACAGATTTCCAGAAGCAGGAGAGACCACGGGAGCGCTGCAGTTCAGGGCTCCTGCACGCAGCTCAGTGGGTGAAGGTAGGTGCCATCGGTGTCTCTGAGCTGATTGGAGAGGGACAAAGAGAGAAGCAAAATAAATGTTTTGGGAATGCCTTTATTTATTTATTTATTTTATTCCTGTTTGCTTTTTTGGGGTTTTGTTTGGGACTTTTCATGGAAGGGACCGGGAGAGATGAATTGTTCATGGGTTTAATGAGAGTGAGAAGACAGTGAGTGTTTGAGCCTCTTTGAACTACCAACCACTGTGAGGATGTTACCTTAGGCAATATTTGGTTCCAAGCTGGTGACACTTCAGAAGCCACCAAACACAGTTGAGTATCCCAGCTTCCCTCTGGACTGAACCAATGGTGCTGCACAGTATTTTTCAGGATTTTTACACACACACACACACACACACACACACACACACACACACACACCCACCTCTGTGTTTTTGCAGCAGGGAGGAAATTAGAATGCTCCCTTCCTGCTGCTGCAAGCAGGAATAGGGAGCAGAGTCCTTGTAGTGAGCTGAGAAGCACAATCATTTCCCAGCCTGCAGACAGCTCTGTGCAGGTCCCTGGCAGCAGAGGCCTGCAGGAGCCAGGAGGGAGCTCTGGGCCTGGGGGCTTGGGCTGTGCCAGGCTGCCCCCTGCATGCTTCCACCACCTCCCTCTCTGGCATTTGATGCCCTGCTGGGGATCCTATTGACCACTGAACTGTTCTAGTGCAGCCAGCTCCCTCTGACACCAAATCAAGTGAAAGGATTTTTATTCCCAAAGCAAGCTGATCAGCCAGGGAAGAGCTGGGGAAAGGTGGTGCTGCACTGGCTGCTGATGGAAGCTGGGGGCTCTTTCCATCTGAACTCGAGTCAGAATGTATTGATTCTTCCTCTCATGCCCATGTGATTTTGGGGTATGAGTAATAAATGTATCCATTGTGGGGTTCCTGTTCAGCTGGTGGAGATCCATCTCCACTCCATGAAGCCTTGCTGAGATGTGAGTCTGTGGCATTTCTGGATCTCAGTTAAACAGAGCTCTGTGCACAGGTCCTGCAAAGCTGCTGTTTATCCATGTCAGTATTCCATTTGATAGCAGAGCTGCTCGGAATTCATCTTCCTCACTCAATCTGCCAGCACACAACAAACCAGGGGATCCTCACCCCCAAATCCCTGTGCCACAGATGCTGTTGCCTGTTTGGAGGCTGTTCCCAATGAGCAGCAATGTGAGTGTTTTGAGGGCAGAGTTTTCCAGCAGCTTCCTACTCCCGAGGTTACAACTTGCCCCTCCCCACAGTGGGTTGTACTTCCAACTTTCAGGTAGTAATTCTGCAAATACCTCTTGCATCTGAAGAATGTGTTCCTGAAACCATTGTTAGGGTTCTTGGTGCAGTTAAGGTGTGTCAGTATTCCTTTTCCTACAGTCAAGGAGCTAACATGATCCTGAATTGTTTACATGCCTTGCAGTGTTACCATCTTAGAGTCGTTCCAGCCTTTCTCCCTGACCCCTCTTTCTCACAGTTTCACAGACCCTGCCCATCCTTGCTGTCTCCCTGCTCAGCTGTGGGCAAGGGCAGAGCTCACTCAGGAGGCACTGGCTCCTTCAGACCTGCACAATAACCAAAGCTCCAGCAGCCCCAGCCCTGCTCCAGGAGAGGCTGGGCACCCTCTGGTTAAACCCGAAAGGAGAAGGTGCTGGAATGGGACCCTGAACCCCAACCACCTTCCCCTTCATTGTTCAGGATGCAGAATCCTTCTCCTCCAGCCCATAAAGTACACAAGGCTCCCAAGGGTCTGTGGGATCTTTGGATTTATGGGAACATCCAAATACAAACTCCAAACCCACCAGGGCCTCTCTTTGCTGGCACTCAGCAAATCAAGGCCCTGAGGACAGCAGCACTGGTGCACTCAGAAATCAAGGGCTGTTGTCTGCTCTGGGAGCTGCCAGTGATGGCACTCTGCCTTCATCTGGGTTGGGAAAGGCTCCTGATGGGTGACCACTGGTGCCCCCTTTGCTCCTTGCCAGGACAGCAGCAAGAATTCCACAGCTGGGGCTGCCAGGGGTTAAATCTCCTCAAGGCAGGGTAGTAACCAAATCAAGAAGCTCAGTTCTCAAGGGATGGTTTGCAGGGGAGGTTTTCCAGGTACAAGGAGATGCCTGTTTGTGTTGCAAACCAGTGTGAGCTGAACCTTCACACCTCCCTTTTGCTTCTGAGGATTTCTCCTGACACAGAAATGACTCTGGAGACATTTCTAGCAGTGCTGTGGGAGGCCACAGGCAGAGTTCACTGCATTCAGTGCCTGTGCTGTGTGTGCTGTTGGTGCCAGCAGTGCTGTCAGGGAGTGTGGGGGGCTGCCTGGGTCCCAGGGGTTATTCCACAAGGACAATCCATGTGTGGATGTGCTTCCAATCTTCAGGGAGTTTTAATGGCAGTGATTTAAAATGGTCCAGAGAAGGGAACTGGGGAGGTTGCTGAGTTTTTGGGAGCCCCATGTTGCCCTCTGCCACTTGCAGCCCCTGCTCCAGGGTGCAGAGTACAAGGAGTGCACAGAGCACTGGCAGCAGTGAGGTCTCAATCTGCTGCTCACACACCAAGATGCTTTTCCTCCCTGTGCTCCTGTGAGAGATTTCTCAGTGAGAGCCAGGTAAAAGGCATTCCCATTGATTAACTTCTGCCAGCAGGATTTGGAGAAGGGTGGATTTGCTGTTACTTCCCAGGATTTGGGGCCATTCTCCTTTGCTGGAGGTAACATGAGCAGAGTGGGACAGTGCCATGATCTGGCTGCAGCTTCTGCTGTGTCCCAGGAGTGACAAAATGAGGGGAGGAAAGGGCTCCAAGGGCTTTTCACAAAACATAAATATTTGGATACTTCTTTTTAGGGCTAAAACACAGAAAGGACATGCCCAGAGCAAAACTGAAGGGAGCACCCCATACCCCCAGCAGCTTTTAGCTAAAGAGGAGTTTATTCCTGAGTAAAAGTCCAAGTTTTTAGGGTTTCTGGCATTTTAAAATTGCTAACTCTGACCTGTTTCTAAAACTTTCAGTCTGAATAAGCAAAAGGTGTTGCAAGGGAGCAGTTAATTCACATCACATCTCAAGAGGCTGAGGGTGCCTGAGATTGGCTGTTGGCCTTTGGCTGTTTAAATCTGAACCTTGGCTTGGGGAGGTTCTGCCAAATTCAAAAATTTGTTTTCTCCCTTCTTCCCTGCTGTGGTCTCATTCTCTCCATCTGCATGGGACACACAGGTGGCTCTTGCCCTCTGCTCCTCACCTTTGGGAACCTTTATCTCTCCCATTGCACAGCAGCACTGAGCTGAGCTCAGGGCTCCTTCCAGGTGTTGCTGTTGCTGCTGGTGCCTCCCTGTGTCCTGAGCAAAGGGGAGATGGCTTTGCTTTGATGCCTTGGTCCATTCTGCCTGGTCACAGCTGCACCTTCCTCCTCGTGGTGGTGACAGAAGATACAGAAGAGGCACATCCCTGCAGTCACATTTAAGAATTAAATTTAAAAATGCAGATGTTGTTTATTGATGTGATTTTTGCAGCTGCTGGAAATGCCAGAGGGGTGGTTTGACTGTAAGAACAGAATGATTTGCATGTGGGGACAGTCGAGGTGGAGGTGCAGGGCTGACCCAGTGCCATGGCACTGCCATCCCAATGCCCAGGCAGCTGTGGAAAGCCAGCTGAAGTCTCAGAGTGCTGCTGAGACTTGACTGGCTGCTTGTGGAACATCAGTTTGGGCAGCAAAGTCGTTTGCTCCAATGCTTTTCTCCTTTTGAGTTCTCTCTGCAGGCTCTTGCTGTCCTTGGTTTGTTTCCTGGGCTAAAACTTGAATTGCCATTGCTGAGACTGAACTGTGCAGGCAGTGGCAGTGGGATTCTGCAAAATCTATAAAAGACTTGGAATTGGTGACCATTTCTGAGCAATTCCTGCAGGCCTGGAGCTGTGTGAGTGCTGCCATGGTGTGAAGGTGTCTCAGTTCAGAGCTGCAGGTGGGACTCAGTGTCCTTTGGCTCCATGTGCTTCCAGCTCTGGGACTGGGGACAAGGAGTGGGGAATGGGGGATGAGCTCCTGGCTGCTTTCAAGGGCTGATCTGTGTGTCCAGGGTGCTCTTCAGGGAGGTGTCTCAGGTGTGAAGCAGAGCCTTGGCTTCTCAAGCTGTTCTTGTTTTCTGGGGATGGGGAACCAGAGAGCCTTAAAATGGGCTGATTTTATTAAAATCTGCATTAACACCACCCCTGAACTCTGTACAGAGAGCTTTATTGGTGAAAGTCAAACAGCAGGATCTTATTGCCTTTGTCTTATTTAAAGAGTTTGTTTAAAATTAAATGAAAGGCTCTGTAGAAGTTGAAGGAGAAAATAAAATGGGTGGAATGTCATGTCTTGACAGTGGTGCAGTTTGAGGGTGCCATGGGGAGGAGGTTTGAGGTGCTTTGCAGATGCTGGGTAGGGCTCTGGTAGGAAAAAAAATACAAACATTTTGTATAAAATATCTTCCAAGTCTTTGTGGTGTGAACTGAACTTGTTCTCAGCCCTGATAAGGGGCTGGGCTGTACAGCACGTACAGAACTGTTTGCTCCTTGCCTTTGGGAGTCAATATTGGCTTGGGAGAAAGAAGATTACTTTGGACAAAACAAGATTACTTTGGAAGATTGGTGGGAGATATTTAAAGCTTTTTTATTTTCCTGGTTCCTTATTGTAGCTGCTAAACGTGCTGCCCTAAGCCAGCTTGGAGGCAGGTGCTCAGTGTCTTCCCACGCTGCTGCTCAGGGCTGCAGCTCAGCCCCTCCTCAGGAGCTGTCCCACGCTGCACTTCAGTGGCTGAGGCTGCAGCCCTTGGTGTCCTGCACTTCTGGAAAGGCCCCAGGCCACTGTCAGCATCTCCTGCCCCTGCCTTGCTGTGCTTTGCTGCATTCTCTCCCTGTTCTCTGGCTCACTGCAGCAATTGCACAGAATCCCAGAATGGTTTGGGTTGGAAGGGACCTTAAAGCCCACCCAGTGCCACCCCTGCCATGGCAGGGACACCTCCCACTGTCCCAGGCTGCTCCAAGCCCTGCCCAGCCTGGCCTTGGGCACTGCCAGGGATCCAGGGGCAGCCCCAGCTGCTCTGGGCACCTGTGCCAGGGCC